GAATTCGAATTACAATTTCTTGACATTCTTTACAAAACCTCATTTCAAGACCAAGATAATTTCCTCATTCTAAAATCGTTTCGTTGACATGTGTCCTTAGTCAATTTCTTTTACTTATTTACAGCAACAGGACTCCGATATAAAGACAATGTTTGTTTTAAAAAATGGTACAAAACTCGGATTATTTTTATGCACAACGACCATTTGCTGATTGTATAGGTGAAGACGGATCAGTTGGCTGACTTACTACTAGCAAAAGGATCTATGCAGTTCCTCTGGGAGTCTTTTGGGATGAATTCCTTGGTAGAGAATAAGTCGAACCCAGACTGCGCCGAGCCAGACACAGTCTTGTGCTGGTCTTCAGTTGACCACGAAGACGTTTGATTCTCTTCTTTCTTTGCCTCGTTTCCCCACGCATCAACCGATTCGAAATGAACGCCCTTTGATGTCATGCTGTTATTATCAGCCAACTGGGACTGCTGTTGTTGGTTATTGGTGAAACTGAAGTCAGCGAAGTTGTCGAAGGGGTTGAACACGTTTGTTTCTACTTCCACGTTTTCATCACAACTAGGAATACTTGGTGCAATAATAGCCTCAACCTCCATTGGCGATGCTGTATCGTTCAGAAGTAAGTTAAGCTCTCGGTGCCGTAATAATTGGAGCTAGCTCAACTGAAATTGAAGGCCAATCTTTATCAGTAATGCCAAGAAGAGGATACTCCTAACACAAAATTTCCAACTGATGATGATTCTTCCAACTGATTATTGTCTTTCCGTGTGCTCAAAAAGCTGAACAAGTAGACTTCAATTACGAGCTGAGTAGTTTCTATTATGCTTCGTTAGTCGTATCATAAAAACCCTTTTGAACATGTAATGTGATGCAATGTAATGTCACTCGAGTGATATGTGGTTGAGTTATTTTGAATTAGAATAGGACGGCATGGGAGATGGTATGGTATAGGATCGGACTTGATCAGCGGTAGTAAAATAGGATAAACGGGGTCTAAGCTCTATGCAGGAAACGAGAGCGCAAGGATATTAAAAAAAGTAGCATCAAAACCAACAGAACCAACACGGAAGTGAGCGCTGTGAGAAGGAAATTTGGATTGTATAGCCCAATTAATTTTCCAGACCAGGCCAAGGTACGCCAGTCTAGTACCAGCGAATAGAAATTTAAGAGAAGAATGAAACCAAATCAAAAGGGCCGGCTGAAAATTACCGCACAACACAGACCACTAGCTAACAGTAGATAAAATTAGACGCACTTATGCTGCTGAGACTGAATAATGAACGATATAGGTCGTGGTTGACGTCCGTAACGGTGGCATCCACTGCTTTGAAATTTGTTCCGACATCCCGAACGACTGTCTCAGAAAGAGGTCGAGGAGCGAGATGCTGATGATCCTTACTTACTTTTTTCAAATTTAAGAGAGCAGCCAATTTTCTTATCCACAGTGCTATCAATCCCGGAACCAAGGATAGCAACAGGATATGACGTGAAACAAAGATAGAAGGAAAAACAGCACTGGTATTCAATTGCTGTGGCCAGCAGTCACATACAGGGGAGAGCAGAGCACAAAAGCCTTGAAGAATGAAATAAAGTGGTCAGGTTGTTGGTAATTGCTGTTTTGTCAATTTGTAAGGGTGATGGTATTAAATACTCTCTTCTCCAGCAAAGAACACACTGCATTCGAAGAAATTAGCCAAGTGTGGAATTGGGACGAGGGGACCTCTTTCAATAACAGTGATACAACAATGGGAAGAAGCTATGACTAGAATGATGTATTCCTTCATCCTCTTACAATTGGCGCATATTTGGTTACGAATTTTTCTTCTGTTCCGATCAAATGGAGGGATCGAATTTAACTTACTGCTTTTGAAAATATCTGAAAGGCAAGTCACCAACACCCTAAGTATAGTTCTAAGACGAGAAGTATGCGGGAATAATTTGCCTATCAATTTTTAGTTGCTTTTAAAAATAACGATTCAAGTTACACCGCCGCGTTGTGCTGTAATTTCACGCACATTAGATATACACAATTGATCGAATCTGATTAGTTTGGCACCGATGGTAGAAAAAATCATGCACGGCCACCGCCACTAATTCCCTGTTCTGAGCTACACTCTATTGCAGTGGAATTGAAATGGTAAATGCAGAAAAAAGTCAGAAAGATGAACAGAAAACGAACACAGAGAAGCAAAAAGACTAAAATCTATGAGCGTGAAGACGATAAAGAGCCATGTATGTTAGATACTGTTATATAAGCACAGCAAAAAAATGATGATATTTTATCTTTTTTTTTGCGTTTTTCAATTGAATCAATGCATTCATTCATACACTAAATGGGGAAATACTAAATACAGCACAGCACATTGCAGTCTATACACACTGGAGTGAAAAAATGTGGCATGATGGCCACCTACAAAATTTCCAGCTCCTCGCTCTTCAGTTCTGTGTGACGGAGACGGATTAAAATACTGTGAAGGATTATTGAACACACCAGGAGTAGGGTGAACAACAAAACAGAAAGAGAGAGAGAGAGAGAGAAAAAAAAAGCAGAGGGCAATAAGGGCTCAACAACTAAACAATTCCAGATAGACATACCAACATTTAACATTATGAGCGTTATAAACAGCTATGCCCATTGAAACAACCGCCATAAATGAAATCTTTTTCGATGAGATGAAATCTCAGCTTTAAATTCTAAACGCTGTTGCCCAGAGCAATCAAATATGCCGTAAATGTGCACTTTAGCAAACACATGGTGATAAATTTCAAAATTTTAAAACAGAGGAGGAGCGAAGCTTCGCAACATTTGCGATACAACACAGTCATAGCATTGCAAGCTAGCGGAAGCCACAAGGCGAAAAAATATATACATATTTTTAAAATGTCGAAAATAACTACATCTACAAAACTCCAACAAGGATAGCCGGTTACTGTGTAAGTAGCACAGAATGTTCCGACCAGTCTTAAGAAAATAAAAAACTTTTTTTTTCAAATTCGTGTCGTTTTTTTTCTGCATGTTGTGATAAAAAGATCTGAAGGAAAAAATAGAACTTAGGCGTATTTCAGAGTCATGGTAAAAAAAGGTCAATTGAAAACAGTTTTTGAAGAAAATGACTAGAGAAACTATTTTCATTTTTTCTGAAGAAATTTTCCAAGTTTTTGTTTCCAAAAATTGCGCAGAAAAACTCCAAAAACTACCTTTACTTGAGTAAAACTAAGTTTTCACATCTTAAATTAAGCTTAAATAAGGTATTGTAAGCGTACCCGGTCACCTTATTAGCTCGAAATTAGACCAAAAATCAAAAATTTCAAACCGGTTTTTCTCAACACTGTAACAAAAACATAAATTGAATAGAAAATCAAGACGCCCGTCTTTCAAAATTTCGTCGCCTAAAAACATTCAACTGCATGGCATAGCAAAAAGATAGTTGAAAACTCGTTTATGATCAAAAACGACGTATTTCCGTCAAATTTTCAGTAAAAGCATAGAAAAAATTACAACAACACACTTTAAAATCAAGACGATCTACTCTTGTCAATTTTGTGATAAGAATAACTCAGTTTGGAAAAAAATAAACCGATAGATAAATTTTTGTTGAGAAACCTCTTAAAAGCCAAGATCCGTTTTCAAGCTATTTTCACATCGTTATCACAGCGTAATTTGTACAAAATTTGGGAACTCAACTTGATCGCAAAATTCAAAAGAAACCAAAAATCAAACACATTGTAAATTTTCCTGAAAAAAAATCAAACTGAATTTTCTTTTGACAATTCTACCCTTTATAGAATCAAATTTAAATTTTTTCTACGATATTTGGATCTTACTGTGTGCTTTGAAAGTTAACCAGCTTTTACAATTTTACTGCCTACCAACTGATTTCCTACTGTGATTAAAACATATCCACGGAAACGGAAATCATGCAATTCTGAAAAATCAGATCATTCAAGGGTAAAACAAAAATCATATTATTTTGACAACTGAAGGCGTGGAGGAAGTCCTCGGTTGGGTTTTAATTTTTCTTTTACAAATTTTTCCCACATAATATCAGGTACCACAAACGATCATCAGAATGCGTCGAGTTTTATAAGGGCGTTGAGCCCTCTCAGTCCTGAGTCGATTTTGCTTTATAGCGTCATTTGGAGCTAGTTTTGGCGTATATTCAGGCTATTATAGTTGTTATGTTAAAATACAACAAAAATCTTGAATTTGAGCCGTGAAACATTTTAAAAAAATGGATTAATAGATTAAATTTTTATTCCGCTGGACAATCAGAAAATTAAAATCAACGTTCAAAACCAGAGTTCGATAACTTTTTTCGTGACCTTTACACTTTTGCTGTTCGCTAGTAGATGTTGCAAAGAAAATGAACAGAACTTAGAAATAAATCAAAATTCAAAGGCCAAAAAGCAAATGCCATTTGATTACTGAAAAAAGTCTTCACGACCTATATAAGTGTCTTTACTGTGTTCATTGACACGTAATAAAACAGATGCAAACAAAATTTTTTTGAATTTTAGTATTTATTTTAATTTTTCAAAGATAACTGTAGTCGATTAGAAAGAATTCACAAATGCTGTAAGCTTTGTTTTTGTCATCTTCATCACACTTCGCACAAAAACGCCACGAATTTAAGAAGATTTTCGAATAGTTAATATTTTCCCTTAATGAGACCGTAACTTACGGTCTACCCCAAATTAGATAGTGCTTTTGTCCAAACAAAATGAGGCCCTATTCTGAAACTTCAGAGGTTCCAATTTTCGATTGAGAGAATCTCGTTAGTCCCGGAAAGTTGACTCTACTCTACTTCTGTTCGATCAAATAACGTTTTTCAAAAACGTCTGTAAGATAATACTTTTGACAAAGTGATATGCAAATATAAAATTTGAACTGATTAGAAACAATCAAAATCGATCGATCAAAAAGTCCTCATTAAGTTCGTTAATCTCAAAAGGCAGAAACAATCGCCTTTTGTGCACATAACAACCTTAACATTTCTCAATAGTTCAACAAATACAACAACTATTGAGAACTTGATCAATTTGCGGACAGCAAATACTTGATCAAATTTTACCAATTTCAAAGAGCACCATGAACAAAAAGACTTAACATCAACTAACTAAATATCCAAGACTGATGTTTTCTAATCAAACGATTTAACCAGTTTGAGTAAGATGTCTCATCCTATTGTTTGTGCTGTTCTACTAGTGGCGTTGAATGGGAACTTGTTGATCAGTTGGTTTCCTGCGGCGGTGTATAGTCTGTCGGAGGAGGAGATAGTGGACATAGTGAACAACTATAACACCAGTTGGGTGGCCAGGACATACCCATCACTTCCCAAATACAGGTGAGAAAGAGCAATTAACAATTAAACTACAGCCCCAGGCGCGGATTTATGGGGGGGACGGGCGGACGCCCCCTCCCCCCTCTCAGGGATTCGACCCCAGGCCGACTCAAGGGGTCCCCCCTTCGAACTTTTTTAAAATATCCATTTTTGGCCGACGGACCCCAAAATTTGTCTAAAGGCGCCTTTGGTGCCAATATATACTAATTTTGAGTGGGGAGCGCTCGCCGAAAAAACGCCATTTTTTGGTCAAAAATTTTCAAGAAGTGCCTAAAAATGTTTTTTTTGCCTGTTTTTTCAAAATTTTGCCTGCGGCGCAGAAAATTTGGCAAAAAACCAGGGTCTTTTTAGTACTTTGGGAGAGCTCGGAAAATCGACGACCTAAAAAAAGGTCGACAAAATTTTCGAAACTCCCCCTCGAGAAAATCCTAGATCAGCCCCTGTACAGCCCCACTACAAAAAAATTAATCAAACAAGTAAGATCTGTTTTTTGTTCCAAGGTTTACTTCCAACAAAATATCCGCATTTTTTAAGATAATAGGGATAATAGGGATATATTGACCAAATAAGCAAACAGTGTTTTTTGGTGATATATTACAATCGGTATTAGGTAGGTCCAATTAGACTAGCTGGATCGTTTTTCTTTATACTTCGCACATTACTTCTAATTTGTTGCCAAAGCCAATTTTTTTGGCAAAAGAAGTCTAAATTAAGTCTAAATTAAGTCTAAATTTTGAAGTTTTGAATAGGATTTCATCTGGCAGAGTAATATATTTACAAAAACTATCTTAGTAGTAGTACAAGTGATTGAAAGTGAAATGACTATATTATAAATTATAGTTCTAAAACTTAATACATGCACTATACTCAAAATTACCACCTATTGTAACATATCACCGTTTTTTTCGATACCCGGGAAAGCTGTGCATATTTTTAACATAGGGATATGTAGACCAAATAAGCAAAACTATGTTTTTTTTTGGATACTTGGGAAAACTATAATTCTCAATTGTTTGTTTCAAAGTATTTATTGCGTTGGAGAATAAGTATCAAAGCAACGTAGATTTGTTGAAGTTAGTTGTATCTTGTATTGGATTTTTTTCAGGAAACAACAATCGGAAAAAAAACGTTTTTTAAATTAAACTCCACTATTTTAAAATTCGACTGTGTGTAATTTTTGAGCGCAGAAATCCGGTACCTGAGCCTCGCTACCACCAGAGACATCGGAACTTCCTGCGGAGTCTGATTCTTAGGAGGCACTCATACGGACACGAGCCCTTCAGGAGGTGGAGGGGTGAAGTGCCCAAACATTTCGACGCCAGGCAGCGGTGGAGGTACTGCGACACAGTACACGATATACACGACCAAGGTAACCGGGGCGGATTTAGCGGGCATGGCGGGAGGGAGAGGGGATTTAGCGTATTCTTTACCTCAGGGATTCGACCCAAAAAAACCCTGTTTGGTGCTATTTTAAGACACCTCTTTTTGGCTGATCGAACCTTATACTTTTCTAAAGGCGCCAGTATATACTAATTTGTGAAGAGAGCGTGGACTGAAAAAAATAACAATTTTTTTGTCAAAACTTTCCAAAAAGTGCATAAAACACTCTTATTGGCCTGTTTTTTTTTCGAGAAGGTCGAGAAAATTTTTGAAATTGATAACCCCCCCCCCCGAGAAAATACTAGATCCGCTTCTGTTAACCATTCAACTATCAGTTAAGTTTTCATTCTACATCAACATCATGAAGTCTTCTCATTGGTCTTCTTTTATTTAACCCTTTTTTAGGCAACTGTGGTTCTTGCTGGGCTATTGCGGTAGCCAGTGCAATCAGCGACCGCATCTGCATCAAGCGTCCCAAACTGAGACCGGTTCGAATCTCGCCGACTGCCCTGCTCACCTGCACGAACGGTGGCAACTGTAGAGACGGTCACGACCCGTATGATGCATGGCGCTATTACGTAAGATATGGTGTACCAACTGGTGGCTTCTACAACACTCATGACTCCTGTCAGCCTTACATCTACCCGGGACTGTACAACAAGTACGGAACCCCCACCGATATCTTTACGATTCCATCCGAGCAGCCTGAATGCTCTCACGAGTGCATCAGAGGATATAACAGGTATGGAATTGGTTTGAAAATTGTCAGGGGTCCGCAACTTGCGATCAATTCTAATCAATATCATGCCAAAACTGAGACAAGAAACTTTTTGAACATTAAAATTGGCATGAAAGTTTAGTATATTGCAGAGGGCAATTTTTTTATGTTGAAAAACAGTTTTTTAAATATTTTGGTGAGAAAAAATTTAATGTTTGGAGGGGTGTGTGGGTTCTATAAAGAAGTCGACATTTTTGTTGGGAGGGGGTGGTCCCGACAATAAAATATGCAGAGACCTTCAAAAATCAGCTGTTTTCTTAGACAGAGGGAGTGGATTGATATTAGGCCTTAAATGATTGCTTCATTTTGATAACAGATTCTTATAACAGAATTGAAACAGATTAATTTTCCGCTCTCGATCAAAATCAAGTCTGAAAAACCAGCATCATCAGACCAGTTTACTCGACACCAAAGGACTTTGAAACACAGCAACGAAGCTGCACTTCGCATACAAGCATAATTTGACAAAAAGCTGCTTTAAAATGCAAGAAAAAAAAGCTTGGAAAATTAAAAAGATTTTACCGGAAAAGGGATTTGAAACATGCGTTTCAAGATTAGGAATCCCTCTCCGCCGCTGTACCATCTCATCTAGCGAGTGAATAGAATATGAAATCTGATTTCACTACTGAAGCAATGATGGCCGTATTTCTACTAGGAGATTGCTTGTTCGACCCTCCTTAAAATTTCTTAAGCATTGCAATATAGGATATAACTTGAACATGCAAAATATGACGTTGAAAAATCTCAAACATGCAAGATAGTGAAACCCGCATTCATATAAATAATAGATTAAAATTTGACAAACTGGATGGGCTATAATGGGAAGACCCAAAAAATATATAAAAGCCTCTAGTAACTTATTGACACTTAATAATGACAGAAAAATGATTTAAAAAATTTAAAAAGAATTGTCAAACTTTCAAATTCCTAGCGAAAATTACTGCAACTGCCCACCATCTTTTAAATAAGATTTTGAGGAAACCGACTAAAATCTAGAAGCCCTTTAATCTAATGCCACAATCAATCCCGCGCAAGCGCTCTTTGAAACGTAGGTCAAAATTCTTTGTACTCTTTGCTGGTGGTCTGAACTTCTCTGAACTATAAGTTTCCGTACACTTTTGCATTTAACTATACGTTGCGCTAGAAAAAGTGCAGATTGCTATCAAAATGCATTAGGACATACAATAGTGAGCTGTTCTACGGGGAGCGGGCATACATAGTGGATGCAGACGAACAAGCCATTATGACCGAGATGTTAATTCATGGCCCAGTGGTAGCCATAATCGAGACATTCGAGGACTTCGACAACTATAGGATGGGGATCTACGAACACATAGTCGGAAAACACACTGGGTAAGGAAGGTTCAGGGTAAAGGGAGTAAGAGTAGAGGAAAGTTTGAAGCAAATGAATCTTATTTGTGTCGGGGGTAACATAAAATAAATAAGTTTCTTATATGGAATTTTGCCACGTTTCTCTGACTTCTAAGAATTCCCGAATGAATTTCAGACCTCCTCTTAACAACTATTTCGTTGAACTACAGAAATGACATTGTGTGTCTAGATACCACGCAGTGCGTGTTTTGGGATGGGGAGAGGAAGGAGACCAGAAATATTGGATCTGTGCCAATTCGTGGAGTCGCTTCTGGGGCGAGAGGGGCACATTCCGGGTTAAAAGAGGAGTAAACGAAGTCATGATAGAGGAGGCTGTAAGCGCTGCGTTGCCATATTCAATCGGACTCTGAACAGGACAAGCTGAGTGAGCTGAACTGAACACCTACTGTTTCTGTACTGAAATTTAATGCTTCAATCAATTAATTGGCAATAATGTGATGCTGATAATGAAAAATAGTTTACGGACAAGTAATTAGAGGAGCGATGGTGAAGAAGTAGAAAAGGTTCAGCTTAAAGGTCGGCGGTACCAGGCTTACTATGTTACCTGCGAGTGAACCAACAACTTCCAGCACAGAACAATATCTGTATTTCTAAACTTTGAATATTTTTTTTCAAGAGAAGCGCTAAATGAAGCTTCCAACACTAGTTTTCCTTTTTGTGAAATCAAATGTTTTTTTTCAGCCTAAATTGCTAACTTTCAGATATAACGAACATTACTCTATCGCTTTACTTGCACGAAACGACTAAAACTCAAAAATATCAAACCCGTTTTTCTCGACAGTGCGAAAACTTTTTTGAAATTTAAAAATCTCATTCGAATCACGACTGAAAAGGCTCTAATATGAAATGTCACTCTAAACTAAAACACACCCGAATACAAATTTTATCCCCATTTTCAATGATCTGAACAAAAAGGCTGCCAAACTTAAGTAAAGCCTTACTCCCAAACTAGGATCCCATCAAAAGGGCAATTGCTCTAAAATTAAATTGCTATAAGACAGCATTTTAAATGCGAGTCACATTAATACGTTTTGGACGTCTTCGAGTGGGTGCAAAATAACGCCTAAAAATTCAATCAGAGCAAACTTCAACTTTTGAGACTAAAGCATACATTTTTCATCTTTCAAAGATATTTACACAACAAATTAAGATAATTAGATAAAACCCGGATATTGAATATCTGCTTTTTCGATTGTTTTAAGATTTTCGTTCAAATTACAATAGTTTTTCTTTGGGAAAAAAATTTTCGGTGGATGCTTTCAGGAATTTCAGTTTTTGAACGAACGCATTTTTGTAAATTTCAGATAAATTTCCCTATACTCAAATGCGAACGACTAGAAAAAGAACATGACCACAAAATGCCACCTTCAACAGTGTTCTTAGTCGGGCAGTACCGCTCCCTGCATCATTTCAATGATTCCAAAAAGCAGGGTAAAATAAAGTCGCTGTTTGTGATAACGGCTCCTAATAAAAAGAGAGACGAAATTCGCCAATTTTAAAATTTGCCAATCCACAAAAATTTGCTGAATTTCGCTCAAGAATATGTTGTACAATTGAACAAAATTTCTATAGTTTTTGAACGCTAAGGCGGGAAGCATTATCAAAACCAAAGAGAGCGGTAGTTTATCTCGTAATTTTTGAGGCCTAAATTTTCCTCGTTAAATTTTGCGGCAAGCGGAAGAAACTAGGCAACTGCGCTTCAGGAAAATAATGCACACATGCTTCTAACGCACGAAATCCAGTAAAAAATGCGGATTGCAGCTCGGAGCTAGTTTTTTCAAATCTGAAAAATCGACCGAAAGTTTGTTCAATTGGTTTGTTGAATCTTGGGTGACAAGGCATAATGAAAAAAATTAGGGCTCCATTTGAAAGTGCCGTCATCTAGCCAAAAACTAAAGTTTTCCAAAATCTGAAACTTTATGAAAGTCCTTCCCACCTTCGCGTTAATAACGAAACTCTGAACTACTAGAGGAATACCCAAATGAATGCCAAGTGGATCGCCGCAATTAATTTTTCGTCATTTCTGCATTTTCGTTGAGCAGTTTTGATGGATTTAGTTTAGTTGGAAGAGCAAAGTTTGGTCGTGACTTGCATTTTGTGGGCTGAACTGCTGTTTACCACTGATGGTGTGCAGTTTTAGATGAGGTCTTTCACAGCTTGGATAACTTTTCGGCTCTCAGATTGGCCCACAAGACTCGAGGATTCTGCCGTTCTCTGCGAACGCCAATACTTACTTTTTTGCAATCATGTCTCAAGATAATTAGAAAATTTTTGTTTTCGCTAGACACAATGAAGTCGAAATCACCCTTTATCGAGACTTTGGACAATGCTAAAGAGTAATACTAAGATATAAATAAAACTATTGTGAACGTTTTATGAAGTGAGTCAGTTTACAAAATTTTCGATAAGAATTCAAAAATAATAGAAGTAGAAAGCCATTTTAATACGCAAAATTGGGTCCTAATTGGGTATTTACCTAATTGCGCATTAGGCCTTTTGTAAAATAGCGAATTGAAGCGGGGTGAAAGATTTAATGGGGCAAAACTAAAAAGATGAAAAATATTTGGTGGAAACACATATATGGGGTAAAAGATGGTGAGATAAATTGTTAAGGGGTAAAAAGGTGCGGCACCGTCTTGAATAAAGTCCCGCTTGTTAAGTTAGAAAACTAACAATACTAACGAAGCGGTAGCAAAGCAAAATATACTTGAACGGACGCCAGTTGATGAGCCAAAAACTTAAAAAAAAGCATCTCAAAAAAGTTTTTAAGTTCCCTCTCAAAATACACTCTTGCATAATACATGTTTCGCCCATCAGATCTTCTAACGACGCAATATGAGGCCACTACACCGATACAAAACAAGCTTAAACTAAAGTTTGAAAAAAAAACTAAAAGGCTGAAAATTGTACAAAATCAGAGCTGGTAAACTTACATCCAATAGTAACAAAATTACATAAGAACGGGTATTTGAAGCTCATATATGACCAAAAAATCTGCTCGTCGACGGAAGCACATATTTGAGAAATTGATTCAGTGATTCTTAAAGACAAATTGTTTACCTAGAAAAAGTCTCATGTTGCTATGTGCTAACGCTTGCAAATTAGTTTTGAAAGCTAAGCTGGATAGTAACGTGGCGCGAACACGCCCGGATATGAAATTAATAATGTACCGAGCGACGAAATAAAACCACTTGCCCTGTAGTGGAAGACTGGTTACGGGAACATATGCTACATTCTCATAATCGGGAGGCACGAAGTCCTCATCCGCTATCAGTTGGCCCAAAGATCCCGAATTGGCGATTCTAGTCCCTCCTACTCCTATATATCTTCCCTGATATGGGCCAGCATTAGTATTGGTTGAGTAACTACTGGGTGTTAGTGGTGTCGATGAAAAAGAAGAAGAGCCATCAGCTGGTCGTCCAACTGGGTTAATTAAAGTAGACTGGGCTCCAGTGAAGTTGAAAGAAGATAAAGATGACTGAGGCGTCTGAGAGTTCCGCACAAGTCTATTTTTGTCATTAAGAGCAGAATGATTGATTTTTAGCTGATATGATTGGTTAGGGTTGTTAGCTCTACTATCGTTACTGCTAGCGTCATTGCCCATCGCTGCACATGGAGTTTTCACATTGGAGTCTAACTTGTCTAAATTAGCATAAGGATTGTTAGTGGTGCTAGTTAGCTGATGATGATGATGACTCAGTTCATCCGATATACTACAACTGCTTATCTGCTGATCATTTGGTGGGTTACATGTTCTATTCTGGTTGCTGTTATTAGTAGTCTGTGCGTGAGGTTGTAACGACTTAAGGGTTCTGTTAAGCCACTCATCTGCTTCGCTGATTGCTTTTTCGTGTTTACCTGAAGATGGGGAGTTTTCCACTATAAACTGGTTGGTCTGGGTGAGCCATCTCGTTGCCTCCTCAATTGCCTTCGTGTGGTCAAAAATAGGTCCCTGTGTCTCTCCCGCTGAAGGCATAACCCCACTAGGTATTCTATCTGTGCCTAAATCCGTTGGATCTTTATGTCGCCCTCCAGAGGTTGATGACAGACATGATTTCTTAAAGCTTTCATTTGGTTTGTTGACCTTCGTTTGTTGTTGTTGTTGCTGACTAGAGGACAGATAGGTTTTCGGCTGAGACTTCTTCATTTGGAATTGCACATTATTTCCTCGCGTCTAAAACGCAAGTTTGTTGTTCGTTACAATGAAATAACAGAGCATGTTGTATAAAATAGAACTAATAAAAAGAGCAGTGAATTGAGAAAAGATTGTGGAAAAATGCCGATGCAATTAAACGTTTTCTGCGACACATACATTGCTTTCTGATTCCATGACAGTTTTTATAAGCTGAGTCTGTAACAAACGAATTATTTGTTTCGCCGTGTAGTCAAAATATTTTTTTTTTCAAGGAAACTTAAACAAGGCGACTGCGGTATCACATAGAGATGAACAACATACAGTTAGAAAATGCTACTAAAATGTATGACATAAATAACGACAAAATTTTTCTAATTATAAAACTTCATATAAATCAGAACAAATACATCATATTGAAGCCCTTTTAATTTCGATAACATATAATTTTATGTCGCAGTAGACAGGTAAGGATGCAGACAAATATCATTATTATCCAATCAGAATTGAGATTAAAACAAACGCAGGTTATGAAAAACATTATTTACTTTTGCGTACGTTTGTAAAACCGAATATTTATGCTTGGCCAGTTTTTTATATTTAGTCAATTTTCGATTTTTAACTAAAGGTTTTTGACAGAATTTTTCAATCATCTGAAAGATATTGTTTTCCTGAGCTCAAATTCAAATAGTTATTTCACCTGTGATAATTTTTCGTTATGTTACGGGGGTTTAAAAATTGCTAATTTGACCAATCTGTGATAATTAGGGGCATGATATATTGCGTTCTTCTAACACGCGTAAGCGGCGGATTGATGCGTTCCAATTTTAACTGAAACCAGCAATTTAGTCTTATTATTACAAAACAATACGAGACGCTAAATACACCCTTTGTATTTTACATGTGGGGGACAAAATGCTCGAGGGGGGATGAAATGAAGAAAATGACGGAATAGTTGTGCTCGCGGTTGTTTTAGAAACCAGAAAAATTTCGGCTTTTCAACAAGCATTTTTGACGGAATTTATTATACCATCTGAAAGGTATTGCTGCCCTGAGCTACAGAGATACTTCTCTAAGCAGAGAATTAATCCGTCATAGAAATCGTTCCAAAATAAATAGAGGCATTTTATTTCATCCATGTAAAACTATGCTATATGCGAAATATATCACTTTGTACTATTCATAGCGTGAGGGGGATGATTTTCAAAAATTTAAATTTTTTTTTGAAAATGTCATCAAATTTTTAGACGATCACTTACTCCATAGACCTTAAAACAGCCGTAACATTCAGGGCTTCGCCCTAATACGAGCAGTCGTTTCGATTTTTTCGTCAATTATTCAAGCAAAAAGAAAATTAACTGGCCCTAAAGTACAGTCGGGACATTCAGGCTTCGCCCTGATATACGAACACTTTTGTCTTACTTGAATTTTGACTCAAAAAATAACGTTAAACTTTTTCTGCAAAATTAGCATTTTGGACGAAAAGCTCAAGTTTAACGAAACGTTTTGTTTAAAATAAATTTCATAAATACAGAAAGAGAACAAAATCCCATTGCAGATCAAAATAATATAGAACATTTTGGAAAGCATAAATTATACACGAAAGTTTGATTTGCATTTTTAAAGGCTCAAACGAACGTTAATTGTTACCAGTAAACAAACTTCAGACACAAACATCTGTTAAATCTATTTTCCCATAAATTAGTTTTGCATCGACATCTATATTATTTTTTCTTGTCGTCTAATTTGATGGTCGTCTAAGTTTCACAATCTTCACATATTCGAAAAACAGTCAACAAAAGGGGCATGCTCAATTGAGCAATCTTCAACCAATGCGGAATTTTTCTGTTTGGTCTTAAATATAGCAAAAAAGCAATAATGTACACTATTAAGGTTCTGAAAGGAACACCTTGGGATATTAATTAAATACGAAATTAGTGAAGCATTAACATTCGTAACTTGCTTTCTTAGAAGCGAGTATCGTCCAAACAAAAAATAGAAAATTTAAAAAACTTTTGAAAATGTTTATAAATTTTTTATGACAAAGCACGAACAAGACAAATGTCTATGCTACGCCCAGTAACTTTCAATCTATGTCAATTTTTGCTTTTACTTCGCTGATTTTTTGGAAGAGGAAGTGCCAGTGACGTAGCTGACTGTTAGATTAGTTATGTAATAACGAATAGCTTGACACAGAGGCGAAGCGGAGCTTGGTACCACTTGCGATACAACAACAAAACAAAAAACATTGAAAAAACCAAGAACCAAAATTGTCGTGTCTCGATAAAAGAAACTAGGGTCCAAGCTAAATCAGGGGGTAGGTGTTTTCATAACTTTGTTACACCGATGTGAGATGAAATGGGTAATTTCAAAGTGAACTGAACCCAAAACCTTAGTAGCTTCTCGACTATAATAAAAAAAGGTGAAAATTCATGAGAAATTGGAATCTTCCCAAAGACATAACTTTTCTTAGAAAAAAATAGAGGGAAGCTGCTTCCACAGTAAAAATTCTCGCAACCGGTTCATTCGATTGAACCATTCATCTCTCAAAAGTCAAAAGCTTCTAAAAAAATGCCAAGTTTTCAAAAATTTGACTCTCCGAAATCAATCACTTCTTTCTGCAAAAAGAAGGCCGTAGCCATGTTAGAAGAGAAAATTTCTAAAACCGGGTTTCCCGACGACCATTTAACCTAGGAATTGGCAGGGTAGTTTTCGAGAAAAGTCAAAGAGTTTCCACAAATTGGTCAAAAAATCAAAAATTTCACTTCTCCGAGAATCGAAGCTGTAATTGTGGAAAAATTTTACGCGTAGCCGCTTAAACAGAAGAGATTGACACAACCTCAGAGAAGAGAGGGTAGTTTTAGAGGAAAATAAACAGTTTAAAAAAACTGCAAGAAAAATAATTAGTCTTTTCCGACTGAACCAAAAATCTCCGATTTGGGCGGGTAGTTTTTGAGAAGGTCAAAAAGAACCAAACGGCAAAAAAATCAATGAATTATTTTTTCTGAGGGCCCTTTCTTTTGGGTAGAGAAAAAATTGGGCTTAAGTGATTATGTAGGGGCGCTTCCCACAACCAGTTGTTTTTGATTGAACCCAAAAGCTCAGCTTACTTTGCAATTAATTTTACTGTGAAGCAAGCAATTTCGAAAAAAAATTAATACATTCCGCAAGTACGCCGACAAAAAATGAGACGAAATCCGACAAAAAATCAATTTAATTCTGAATTAATTCTAAGTAAAAGGCAATGTACTCAGTAGTTCAATTTGATTTTTCATGAATTTGAGCATGTCAGCAGCATAGCAACAATTGATTCAACTGATTTTGTTACACAAGTTGTCAGCCCGAAAAAAGTCTATATTCCCATTTGATAATGAATTTATTGAATTATTAGGTAGTTGGGGGTTGTTTTTCAGCTACTTAGCAACAAGCATGATTTTTATAGATAAATTAGGGTAAAGCAGTGGCGAAGATGCATTTAGCATGCAAACTCAAAAACATCACAGTCAACGCCATTGAAAACCATGTATTCGTGTGATTTCATAATTCACTATGATATATAGCTACAAAAGAGTAAAATTTTTAAAACCGAGCAACTTTGCAGATTTTTCCTTTGGTTTTGAAAAATTACCATGTAGAACAATTCTCGGCTTGTAATGTATGAATAGAATCAAATAGAATTAAGAATGCTTTCTGAGCCGGATTAATTCTCCGTTTGCCGTTAATAGAATGAAATACCGCTTCCAAATTGGCAGTTTTTAAAACCATCATAAACTTCGAAATTTCTTTAACTTTTCACCTCAGGGTATTGGTACCATTCAGTGGGAATAGAAAATATGTTGAAACACGCTGGTAAAAAGACGAACTTGGTCTTAAGAAAAATAAGACACGATCGAACACAAATAATCCATAATCTTTGCAAGTCGGAACAATTACAAAATCCTGTTTTAGCTTCAATTGTAATCTAGCGCTTGTTTATATACATGAAAAGAATTTAACTGAACACATGAAAGTGTTACTCAGGTTGAAAACAGTGAAATCACAAGCTTCAAAAACTTAGGTAGCGTAACACTAGCATTATAAGTGCAATTCATTTGTCTGATGAGTTTGATTGGATTTATTTTATCAGTCTAATTTACGCGGAAGCCAGTAGGTAAGACTCGAAAAAAGTCATCAGACTCTCAAGCTACTTAAATTTTTCGAGGCTTGTGATTTTACTTTTTCCAACCTGAGTAACACTTAACCCAAAACACTATTAGAAGGGCCTTAAAATGAAACCACAGGTGGTGATCCTCTCTAAGCTTTCTTTTAGGTTGAAAAATTGCCCAGAAAACCCCACCTTACACCATAGTTCTTTCTCAACTCAGGCGGGCGGTAATGGTCAGGACCAAAACCTGAGTTCTACATTTTCAATCAAATTTGGAAAATATAAATCGAGAATAATTTTCTTAAAGATTTGACTTTTTATATACGAAAGCACACTGCTATCCGCCTTGAAAAGAATTTTGAAAACGAGTGCAACAAAATAGTTATCTATTGATCCCGTTATTTTCGCTCCATTCGCACTTTCTTTTTGGAGAGAGTAAGTTTCCTTCAATTTGGTAAGAAAAATTAAGTCAACTTATAGCAAAACCGCCAAAAAATGAATTTAGGCATGATAAACCTTAAGTGCTTTTTATAGGCGAAGCTGCAAGTAATAGTTTGGAATATAGCACAGAAGGCATCCACACTAAATTCGCATGTAATAAATTGGAATGCATAAAGTTATTTTATGTCTAAATTATGCATTTCAAAAAATATATTTTGAGTTAGAAAATTTCTGAAACCAAGTTTTTATTATGTTGTTTGAAACAAAAAGTTCTTTTTTCGGTTCATTTGATGAATTTAAAATGCATGAAATATGTTATTTTATTACTATTCGAATGTCAAAGCCCACGCTACGAAAAAAACCGTAGAGGTGTCCAAAAAGTGGCTCCAATATTTGCGACGTAGGTCGCAGTATAACACTAACGCTCACTAAAGTTCGCTAGTTTAAATAGGTTTAAGGAACGTAATTAAAACAAAACTTTTGGAAATAAGGGAGAAATTAAAGGGGATAGAAAACCGAGTATGCAATACAGAGTTCATTGTTTTGACTTTAAAAATCCATCGAAACACTCTCGAAGCACACCTATTTTAATTTTAAAAAAATACGTAAGCACACATATTTTAATTTTAAAAAAATACGTATTGTAAATATCAATCGAATTAGGACTAAATAAACTTTGATATAATACATTGAAGTTAAAACTAACTTCGGTTGGGTTAATTTTATTGCTTACCCTAGTGAGTGTAGGCTGATGTGCGTTCTGTTGGGACTCTGGTGGTTGGTTGCTGTTGTTTTTGAGGTAGCTATTGGAGTTGTTTGATAATAAGGCGGCCGCCATGTTAGGTCCGAAGGCGAAATCGTCAATCTCGGAGAACTCGCTGTCGTCCCCTCCAGCTAGGAAGCGAGCGCTCTCGTCCCCACTGGAATAGTAGCCAGGGGTGTGGTACTCAGCTGAAGATGTGCTGATGGTACTTGTGGGTCGTCGAATAACCAGTGCCTCTTCAGAAGTAGCTGCTGCCCCCTCTCTCAGTCTAATTAAAGGCAGAGGGGAGGTGTATTTGCTGCTGTTGTTGCTGCTTCGATCATCTGCAGCAGCATCAACGCCCGATCCCTTCTTTTGAGAACTTTGGGCTCGCTCTTCAACACACAACAAAACACAATCAGAGGAAATTTTAAAATTAAAGCTAAAATGAATTATCAATATAAATTTAAGAATATAACTTGCTGCACAAAATATGACGTCAGAGAAAGCTACCATAAAATATGCTGAGCTAACTGCGGGAAAGCCGTGGTTTAAATTGGGTCAAATATGAAAGAATGAATGAGACCCCGCGGTCAAATGGAGCACACAATTTATATTATTTTCCAGTGGAGAGCAAAAAAACTGCCATCTTATATGTTGATCATAGTTTGAATTGAGTCAATTAATCGGCTTCTAAAGTTCAAAGCATATAATAAATTTAACTTTTAATATTATTCTTGAAAACCATCAAGAAAATCATCGGATTAATTTTTTTTCACCATGAGGTTAAGCAAATGATGGTTTCAAATCAAAATTAGCAATATAAAAACAAAGAACGTATCTTTCAGCGTTTCAGATAAAAATACCAACTTCAACTGAAACATCTTTACATGTCAAACTTAAAACGGTGACATATTGTCACCTAGTAAAATAATACTAAAAAACTCAGAACTGATGACGCTAATGTTTAGCATCAAATTCGGAGAACCTCAGTAGATATCATATAGAAAATGGAACAATCGACGACTAGGACAAACAACCAAAATTAGACTTTTTTTATTATTAGGCCCCTCCTGCTCAGTGCAGGACCAACCGTGGGGTAGGGAGATGTCATCCATTTCGCTGCAGCCGGTCCCACCTTGAGGAGGCGGATGACAATGGGACCCCCTCCAACCGTGACCGAAATGGGCTTAATTTTCCGAGCTCTCTCTCAAAACACTAACAAGACCCTTTGACCCTTTCATGGCAAATCGCGTCAAAAACTTTTTAAAAAAAATTGGATAATAAACCTAGCCTCAATTCTATTCAGAATCTCTTCTGAGTAAAATTGATTCGCCACGTACGATGAACGCATTAATAGAAAACTGCAATTTGCGCGCTTCAATTACACACAGTTTGCACTTTTCAAACCCCGTAACATAACGAAAAAAGATCGCAGATCAAATAGAAATCTGTAAAACACTGTTACCGAAAATTCTTCATAGAAAAACCACACAACACACTAACACTTCGCTATCTCCTTCATCTGTCGGAAAATTAAGTCGCTCAATCGAGAAAACGATCAGAATTCACTCAATTTTGAATCAACGGAAGAACGTGAAAGCCAAACTAAAAATGCCAACGTCTAAAAGACAACAGAAAATGCGTCCCTTTATGTTCGTAAATGACCACTTTTGAGTTGAACCAAAAGCTAAGTGAAACAGTCGATCATTGAGCAAATGCACAGAAACCTAAATTCGAATCCCGAATATGATATTTTGTACAAATGAACAAAATTGGCAATGAATGTTCGTCATTTTCCTAGTGCTAAGGAACAGAGCGAAAGATAGGCCTCGATCCCTTGAAAACCATCCTTTTTTAGACGAAATCTGGATCTACCGGCGAAGGTGACCTACCGTAGAATGCCCTCCCCAAAAATGCCCTAAGTATAAGAAATTCATTTCAAGCAAGCTCGCTGAATATACTGCTGGAGACATTTTTTATACCGAATAGCTATTTTATCCAGTTAATAGCGTAAAATATTAATCATAATTTGGTATCGATTGATTTTTTCTGACTAATTAAATCAAATTACTTTGCCCTTGACGCCAATTTCTGAAAAACCGGTATTTATACCCCCTGAATTGATTGGGGTGAATTGCACGATTGATCCATATTTTAAAATTTGAGCAACCAGATCCCTAACCCAAGGTTTGATCATTTGCCCTTAACTATGCTGTCTTAAGAGCTATAGTCATATAAATCAGCGCCAAAAAATTTAGGGGTACATTTTTTGTAATTAAGGTGCCATCAATTTAAAAGTTCGAATTTATTATTGTTCCGACTTTCGTAACGAAAGTACCGGAATATTTGTGCTCGGGGTGGGTTTTTTTTCTTCAGCCAAATTTCGACTTTTTAACTAGCCTTTTTGACGGGATTTTTTTTATCAGTCAAAATGAATTTTTGTCTTGAGCTTAAATTTGAAAAAAATATATTTCATCTGTGATCCTTTTCCGAAAAGTTATTGGGGGTTAAAGATTGCCATTTTGGCCAATTTGGGACAATTAACCGGCGATATATTTCGCGCTATTAACGCGTAAGCGGAGATGAAATCCGCCTGACAAATCGTTCCAAATTGGTAAAAGGAAGCTTATTTTCCATAATTGATTTGTTACTAGGAGCGAAATCTATCAATTTGTACTTTATATGGCGTGTGGGGGATGATTTTCATAAAAAATTTCAAATTTTAGAAGAAAAAAAATTTTCATTTTGTATTATTTCATTGAATTTTTTAATGTTATTACTGCTGCTCCATAAACCTTAAAAGGCAGTCGGAACATTCAGGGCTTCGCCCTGATACGAGCAGTCTTGTTTAAACTTTAATATTTAAAACTTTCTCAATTTGATTCCCTATTCAGCAATTAAAAGTTTGTATCTTCACGCAAAACTTTGTGCACTCTGTAAAAACAGCCATTTTACTTAATACTGGCTAATTCGGACTAATTACGATGCTGTACAAACAAGTCAAAACTGTGTTGAGTAAGAAAAGATGACAGAACGCATTTCATAATCCTTACGCTTCTTTAAAAAACGATGAATGGATACTTCAGCGGGAGGGAAGGCGAGCAGCAGCGACCAAAGCAACAATGCAACGCCAGCACATGGAAATCAAAAACGCCAATTCCTCAAGTTACCACAAATGAGCACACAAAGGTCCTAAACTATACGATGACATAAACATATATCAACAGCAAAAGTAAGAGATGCTGACACAGCAGCATGTACACATGTTTACACTAAGACATGCACCTAGAAGCCCGGATAAAATCCACGTAGCAATGATTATCGATGATACAATTTGTACCTCATTTCAAAAGAAGGATGCGAAGATTCCTTAAGTGAAATAGAAGCCAGCCACACAATCCTAGATGAAATTTTGAGCTGCCACGAGATTGTGTGCAATTATGGAAAGGAGATCCCTGAAAATTTTTCCAGGTAAAAACTGTCGACTGCTCCGGGGATGAAACAATATTCCGGTGCATCTATGCACTTACTCCCGATAAATGACAGAAAAGTTTGACGAATTCTGGTAAAACATCAGAGCTGAAATCAAGCTCAGAATTCAATTATGATCAGAGCTTCGAAATAACTTGTTTAACTTGTGTGAGAGACAGTTTTTTGAACATAGAGATCAAACGATGCATCGTTCACTTTTCGCGAGCTGGAAACTGAGAAAATGGAGACTCTTTTTCAGGACAGTTGAAAAACTTTCCGTGACCAACAAAGGCTCTCAAAAGTTAACACTGCGTATTCGAATCTATGCTGCAGATTTTAAATCTAGATACGGAAATTTAATTTGGGGGCAATTAATTGTAGATTTTCCGCAGCAGTTCAGTTTCTCTCAAATGGAGCTGGAAAAAGGCACTCAGGACAGAATGATAGTTTTGAGAAGATAGAAACGATGCTAATATCTTTGAGACAGCTACAAAGAGCGACAGCTGTTAATTTGTCCTTTAAATTTTAATATTTAAATTAAATCTTAAGGCTTATATCGATTTAATGTTTTCGCTTTTATAATTATCTTTCACTAATTAAATTATTCTTCCCTGTCATCTTAATTCAATGTGAGAGATTTTAAAACGCGAGCCTGGCAATGTACATATCACTCAAGGATACTTGCTGATGGATACAACAAAATCATTATTTATAGACTTTTTGGATGAATTTTAAGGGTCATTAGGAAATTCATTAATGCGTACTCCACTCCTGTGCATGTACATATGTGTTTGTGGAGGAGGTGGGTGATTTTAGATATCATCTAATAGCACAAATAGACCTATTTGTTAATCAAAGAGATTGCTTACCAATTTTGTCAAGGAGCAAGTTGTTCATGCGCTCTTTCGTAATTGTAACTCTTCGTCCATCTTCAGCTCCGTACGCACCACTGTTGTCCGAGTCATCCTCGCCGGCCGAGGACAAAGCCGAGTGGAACTGAGCTTCGTTGGCGCTGAAGAAAGGATTGGTCCTGCGACTGGCCGAAGTCGTGTAGCCGTCTTTGTCTTCGGCTGCTGTCACATAATTGTCAGTCGTAGCACCTTTTTCACTATCTGTTTCATTATCACTGATTGCGCAAGATGATTCGCTCAATGATGCTTCTGAGTTAGAACTGACTGAATTGTCCTCTTGTTTATACCGATTGACCTCTTTTATGACGCGGTCGCCAGAGCCACGCGAATGATTAGCGTCACAGATAGGTCCAAATTTGACTGGCGACAGAAAATTTGCTGCTACATTAGTTGAGGCAATAGATTGTATATCGTCGTCTTTGAGGGACTCGATAGATCCCTGAGAGGAGTTAGGTCCAAGAGTTCCCTCGTCATCACTGCTGCCCAAAGGAGGCTCTGTCTTGTCATCTGAACAGAACAAATAAATACACAGAGGCGAAGTTGCACTTCGCATACACAAGCAAAAATATTACCAATAACGCTACTGGGAAAAACTGAAGGAGTAAAACTTTGAGCCTACAAAATTGAGTCTCCTTCCGTACCTCGACGCTACAGATCCGTGATACCTGAGCTAAGGTGCTATTTGTAAAATAATAGTCTGTGTTAATATACTTAGCATTGGTTGTACTTAATAGCTGGTTATTGATCACAATGAACACATTTCGTCGCAACAATATTTAGACCGCAACAAAATTTGCTATTTAGGTTGGAAAAAAGAACACATTTTGTCGCAACAATATTTAGATTGCAACGAAATTTGTGATTTAGGTTGGAGTTCATATTATCACATTAGCTTTGCTTGCGTAAAACGTCAATAATTAACTAACCCCTACCAACATCTCCTTACTATACAATTCGAGCTGGTTTCAGATTTAAGGTGTCCTTTGGGCGATTGTCTTTAGAGATCCAGTGTAAATATAATTCTGAAAGCTCAGTTCAAAGCAAAACAACCAAATGAAAAGTGAAAATGCAAAAATTAATAAGATTTGTAGCAAAATTTTGCCCTAATTTTAGAGACACTCTAGATAAGAGAACATTTAGTTAATCATAAGCACTCAATAATATTACTGCGTACTTGAAACATGTCTAAAAAGGAATAGTATGTGAATTACCTTCATCGGTATTGTTACAGTCACTCATGACAAGTGCTCTATCTCCGTCGTCATCTGCACTCAACGAAGGGGCGTTGTCAGTGTCCTCCGCTGAGTCATCCACCTCTTCGTTGACCCGCCCAGCCCCCACGAGAGTGGCTTCAGAGGAGGAACCCGTTCCCATAGGTACACTGATATCTAAACTAATCGACAAGTCTTCTTCTGCAGCAGCAATCGGCGCATCCAATGCTAATAAGGACGTCTCTCTATAAGTATCATCCCCCTGCCCTCTTGATAAGTTATCCAGGCATCTATCTTCCCCAACTGCACTACCCGTTGTCACTTCACTTTTAGAGGCCACGGGAGACACCGTTATCGGAGATGACGTCATCGTACTCTGGCTGTTCACGTTATCAACAACTGTTTTGATCTCCCTCAGGGACAGACGTGGAAGAAGGGAAAATAAGGCACCACTTTGATTTGAACCACTTCGCTTCCCACTGCTTGCACTGCTGTTTCTTCTAATTGTTCCCAAACTACTTTGATCGTCCCCATTTTCTTCATTTGATGAGCTGGCGCGGGGGGTTGACGGAAGAATAGAGGTAGGCGCTCCCGAAGGGGGAGTCGGAGCGAGAGGTGTCCAACTGAAGTCTCTAGGTTTCAAGTCATTCTCATCCGAATCAGTGTCCGAATGGTTTTGCAGCTTCGCAGACGTGCCTCTTCCTTTCCATAAAGCGAGTGGAGTCAAAGATGACTTCCTTGTTAAACTGTTGGATCTGTTTGCCGATGATCGTCTTAGAATGGACTTGGGTGAATATTTCGAAATGGGATGCTGGTGATTGGAATACTCATTTTTGGCACTAAAAGAGGTAAGCGTATTGCGTCTCTTCTTTTTCTTATTCCCCATTTAGAATAATCAACCTAAACTCAACTAACACAGGCAGATGTTGACAGGATCTAACGGCTAATTGTTCTCAGTAGTATTTGCAATTCAGATGTGGCAAATTTGAGAATTCAATCAAATGCAAAGAATGATTAAGACAAATTATGAACATGAAGGCCCATTGGGTAAGTCAACTGAACTTTGGTTCACTTCCCATGTAAACAATAATCTATGACAGCATCAAAAGGGCTTTCCAAGGACTTCTCAAGAGGACTTTAGGTTTGATGAAGTGAAAGTTAACTTTTGTGACACTTGGTGAACTGCAAATTTAACCACCATATATATTGAGATGGAATCAATTCAGAAGATGGATGCTATCAAGTGCGTTGGTAACAATTAAAAGGCAATCAACTCAGAGCAGCTGTGGTTTGCAGTCATTTCTCGTTTTCGTCGATTGATTCAACAAAACACAATAACACTACAAATCAAACGATTGTGTTAATTGAAATTTAGTCAGGACAAGACCAATGAGAAAGATCGGCGGTCGGATCAAGTTTGACTTAATCAACTACTAAACAAACTCGATTCAAATGATATCAAATCAACCAATTTATCACAAAGTTGTTCACAGCCGATTGAAAAGTGAACTCATAAAATTATAATACAGCGTGGTGTAGTACATACATGAAACACTTTAGACGATGACCGAAACGAGAGGGACACTCACTATTATGAACTAAAGACTCTGATATATTGTCCTTGAATGAATTGGTAATGCAAGTGATCCAACAGGGACTAAAAGACGATTGTGTTCACGTGTAATGGTGTATTCAGTGGTGATTGCGACGGTAAGAATGATAGCATCTTAATCATCAAGGTAAAGTCAATGCGACCAGGTCTCAGATCATATTGCCCGGGGCAAACCCGCAATCTCAACTCACTCGAGAACTTGTCTGGGATTTGTTGTCTCTCATCTGCACCATAGACCATTGCGTCCGTACTGACATGTCTAAGTCTAATCCTCAGTCCAACATGAACACCGTTACTAACTAGTTTCAAAGCTAACACATCAATCGCATTTAAAAGTTGCGAAGAGAAGTAGAACGAAATTGATGATGTTGAAATCAATTGAAATTAGATCAATTTGATGTAATAGATACCTGCTACAATTCGAAGTACAATTCGTATCACTTTCGTGCTACAAATCGAAGCACAAGATCAAACTTAGAACTCAGAGGCTACAGTAGCAGATACTTTAACGTTAATAACTTCTACTGGGTGGGATTCAATTGACTCGCATGTATTCATCGGATCACAAAATGCTTACAACAAAAACAAAAGACCCTTGGTACATTAGTCCTGACAACTCATTTTGTCGGTTTGTTTTTCACGATCGACAATTAGAACCTCTTCTCTATTATGAGTCAATGATAAAAACGTCATTCAAATGTCAATGGAATAATCTAATAACTAAGTTCAAATTTGAAGGCGAATTTGGGCGAAATGCCGAGAAGTGGTAAGTGGAAAACGGTCTCAATTAATTTCGAAATCAGACACTTTCAAATTAAGAGCTTGAAGCAAATCAAACTTAAATTGGAGAATGAAAGCAGCCATGGTGAAACTAAACCTTATGTCAAATTCAGAGCAGAGCAGAGCAGACGAGCTTCAGGACTTAAAAGTCGGAAATGAAAAGTGGCCCAATTTGACAGATTATTTCCACTGGGAAAAGTAACATTAGTACATTAAGAACTGCTTCTGCAACAGCAGTCAAATGAAACAGTTAGGTCGTATGACAACACAATTGGAAAGAAAGACGAAATCTTGCGTTTGGTTCAAAATTAGACTGACTCTACTAAATGCACCACAAGCAGCCTAACTAGTTTCGTTTCCACTCCACTCTCCGCTCCTCTCGTCTTCAAATGAAAAACAGCCTCTGCACTCTTCAAGTCCAGATTGTAAATCTAAAGTTGTTTCAAGCAGTGCCAAAGGCTTACCATTCAGACCGCAAGTATACTCCTTAGAAAACCTCACTAATCGCACAAAAATGAAAATAAACTGGAAAACATGGGAAGCTAACCACCACCAACTCCAAAAAACCTCAGCGCAAATGCTAGAAATCTTCGATCACAGTGATATCAGAAAAAGCGAAGCTGCACTTCTAAAACATGCAAAACACGACAAGTTTCAAGCCCCCGCTGCATAGACTAGAAATTCATGTTGGCTCTACTCTCGCTGCATTCTGATTGGTCGAAAATTCGACAAACTCGATCAACTTACAATTACCGCCTTTTTTCTTAAAAAGGGGCGGGGTTAATCGTTAAGTAGATCCCTCATTTGTACCACTATACAACCGCTGTCTAATTACTAATACTTGTTTTGATAATAAATCAAATTAAGATTGAAAAATTACCATGTTAAAAACCCAAATAAAATGCGATTTCCCTACTCTTTCTCAGTTTCGTTTATAAGAAAGCAAAAGCAAAATTAGATCTTTGCTTGAAAAAAAACTATTGTGGCGTTTTGGCGTATTCGTTAGTGATGGTGCCCAGCCATCAGATGATTATGGGTTTAAATAGCACGTGCGCTGCATTTTGCGAGGTGGGCGCTTGCAATATTGTCATAGCTTAATGCGCTCGTCATGATAAAGTGAGCTCCAGTTCAACTTTTCCTAAGGTGGTTGACTGAAAAATAACTAGGAATTGAAACAAAAGATTAACTTCAATCATTTTTTGAATTGAGTTGATGTCAGAGCAAAGAAATCTTTGTCTAGTCCTCGCGAAAAACTTTTGAAGGTCAACACAAAGTCAACACATTTAAAGGTGAACACGAAAATCAACACAACATCGCAAAAACAATCATTCAAAAATGTCTGAACTTTTCGGCTTTTCATATTGAATTTCACAAAATTTGCTTAAAGACAGCTCTTTCGCCCACTTCTACGATTATCTCCCATTCTTGCAATTGTTATCTAATTCGCTCATTGTAATTCGGCCTACTAAAACAAACAACTTTTTTCGTTTTCATAAATTATGAAGTTTTTCACTTCAATCAATAGTGCTCGGGACATTGTGTGCTACCATTATTTTCACTGAGAGGTAATTAGGCATGTAACGCGTTTGCATGAGAACAGAAAACTTCATATGACAAAAGAAAAGTTAGCATATAGAAAAGAAAAAAAGTCTCAAAAATGTGAATGTTTGCTTAGAAAAAAATTGTAACCATTTGTTAAATTAATTTTAAGACCAACCCCGATAGAAGTTAAAACTACGTTGTGTAGTGGATTTTCCTAAAAACTTCAGGCACTTACAAAGATAAACGCAGATTCGAGCGTGGTACTATACTACGCTGATTTAATTTATCCGGACAAAAACGCATTTAACTAGATATTTGAACGTGTTGTTCTCATATTGGGTTGATATAAGGTTAAAATGATGAAATCAAAAATTTGCTTAGAATTTAAGCAGCATTAATTTGACGCCATTTATTTTCGGGCCTAAAATTTTATCCCAAAAATGGATTATTTTTGCCTTATTATTCAATCGAAAATTACGCCAAAACTGCTTGGCCGATCACGGACATAATTATATAAAAGTGAGCCTCTTACTTAGCTCAACATACTATAATAAGTGCATACTCTCCAAAAACATTGTACAATTTAATTGATTTTTGTTTGATAGACAAAACACGTCATTTTACTTTATGAAACACCAACTTTTTATTTAAAAACAACTTTTAAGTAATTTGGGCAATTTTGTGGAGAATGTACCCTTCTTAAAGTAAGTTGGGCTATGTAAGAGACTTTGTTATCAGTGATCGACCAAGTAGTTTTGGCGTAATTATTAATTGAGTAAAAGAAGCAATTTTGGAGTAAATTTTTGTGCCTGAATTTCGCAAAATAAATTGCACTTAATTAATTCTGCTTAAATTCTAAGGAATTTTTGTTTTCGTCGGGTCAAAATCAAACCCAATTTAAGAAAAACGCGTTTTAATGCGTTTTATCCGGATAATTTAAATCAGCACTGTATAAAGCCTTTTCGTTGTACTCCGAGGAGACAGTCAAGTGAATCGACAGCCACAAGACAATAAAAACGCTTTCAGGACAATGTGAAGAGCTTAAATGCTGCAAAATGACCTCACTGCAAATATTTCAATTGTTCAGTAGCAATGAAGCTAAAACGATATTTAGATTGAATTTCATACCAAAATGAGGAGGAAATATGTCGTCTAATTGTCTTGTGGTCTACTATCTTGTCAATTTATTGGTCCTGCACCAACTCTAGAAAAAATATTTCAAAACTTCTAAAAGGCGATACAATGGGAGTGGATGAAGTTTGTTCACGTAATAAATCACTATATGTTGATGAATTCAAAAATTACACCGAGGCTAAGCTCAGCTTCGCACCACTTGCGAAATATGAAGGACTATGATTAAAATCAAACGGAAAAAAATTTCTACACCGTTGGAAACACTATAAAGAGCTTTGAGAATGCTATAACGAAGCCAAGTTTTCAAAAGAAGTCCTTTCTGCCGAACTCAGCAGACAAAAACAAGCAGACAGACAATACTCTAAATTAGCCAAAATATTCTCTTTGCAAAAAAAACAGGTCTCAACTGTAATCGAACTCCCGGGCTTTGTCGTCTCAAGCATGGGGGTTACAGCAACTTGGAATAAAGCTGAACCACCGAGCTGCGGAAACTATGCCGACAAAAAAAAACAGACGGACAGTGGTCCGAAAAAGCACAAAAACTCGAGTTTGCAAAAAAAGGCCCGGCCTGATTTGAACCGCAAGCCTTTGCTGTCTCAAGCAGTAGTTTTACCTATACGTATACGCCAGATGCGCCAAACTGTTGATTGAGTTCTATTTATGAAAGCCGACAATACCTGAGCAGAAACCCTTTATGACGAAAAACATTCTAACTTATAAATAAACATAAAAAATGTTAAGTCCCCTTTTTCATCACAACATACTCTTACGCGCACAAAACTTTTTCCAGTCAAAACGATGCAATAACAGGCCACAATGTTGGTATTAATTAGGCCGAAAATTATTCAGCCGATAAAAAAGACAAAAACAAAAAAATGAAATTTTAACAAATCCAGCTGGTAAAATACAACCAATGCGAAAAGCAAATTTCAATTCTGCCGGATTCTTAAAACGCTACAAGTAACTGCAGCGAAAGTTGTTTACAGCTTAAATAAACGATTCTTAGATGTGGCCACTAAGCCGACAAAACAAGCAGATAAATCATAGAACGAAATTTGTTTGAACCGGAATATTCACAGTTTGAAAAAAAACTGGCCCCGGTCAGATTCGAACCCAAGACCTATGCCCTCTCAGGTGTATTCTTTACCACCAGGTTAGGTCTACAAGAGACACTACAAAATTTGAATTCTTTATGAGCCAAGGTACCACCAGGAGTCCAATGAGACCTGTAGACAAAGTGGTTTATGGGAAAAGTCTGGTAGATTGCAAAACCCTTGCTGATCGCAAGGGCAATTAAGCGAATACTGAGCAGACAAAACCTGGGTAGACGACGGTTGATCATCCTTGAAAGTACTCTGATAGCACCCAGCTACAGGGTTGGGAACTTCAAGTTTTCTAACTTATTCTGTAATTTGAATTTTCTGAAAATCTTTGAAAAACAATCAAAAATCTTCGTATCTCGTACACTAAAAAGTATTGAGCATTCTTAATTGGACACCAAATTTAAAACCACTTTGTGAACTCTGACAGCATCCCACTATTTGGCTGCTTTTTTAAAACTGGGCGGAATAGCCACTGAAATCAAACTGAAAAATTGAGAAAAAAACTGAACCATTGCAATATACGATATAGCTTGAACGTGAAATTTTTTTTCGTTAATTATGCAGAAATATTTCGTTGAAAAAGCTTAAAGGTGGCGAGATAGTGAAGCCCGTATTTAAAAGTATAATAGATAGATATGAAAAAGTGATACAAAAAGTGAAACTAAAAAAAAGTATATAAAAAAGTGATTAAAAAAGTGATATGAAAAAGTGATATAAAAAAGTGATGTTAAGAAAGTGATATAAAAGTGATATGAAAAATGTGATATAAGAAAAGCGATATAAAAAGTGATCTAAAAATGTTATTTAAAAAAAGAAGGATAGAAAAAACAGATAGAGAAAGAAAGATTGGAGACAACCGTTTGACAGCACTATTTTGAACTGAATCGTCGAAACCAAATTGGAGATAGTCAAATTAATTTAAAAAGCAGGTATACAGACAGACAGACTTAATTTGGCCTCAAAAAAAATACTGAAAAATTAATGAACTTGCGGAAAAATAATTGTTTTTTAAGCATTGCAATATATGATATAGCTTAAACATGAAAAAATTCTTTCGTTTAACATGCAAAATTTCTATGCTTAAACATGGGGGATAGCTGTCACTAGCATTTAAATATAGTATAGATAGATATAGATAGATAGATATAGATAGATAGATAGATAGATATATAGATAGTTAGATAGATAACCGTAATTCAGATATTTTTCAAATTAAGAAAAAAAATCAGAATTTTCCATCTAAATGAAAGGAACTCTACGACAATGCGCAAATTGATCCTTAAATATCTGAAATAAATTAGACCATTCTTGAAAAGAAATCATGGTTCTCGCTGATTTCCTCTAATCTCCCAATTGACGTAGCTAAGAATGTCTCCCCATTCATGCATAAATTTTGATATTCAACTCACTCAAAATTGCCAAATTTCAGCTAACTGGATTATCGTATGCCTTTCGCCGGCAAGTAAGATCCAAACTTGAATCAACGTTGTTAAATGAGAAACAAAAGCCGCTGTATAGGTAGCAACGCATTTTTCGGAAACTGCTTTTTTTTGGAAAAATCGAAAAATTCTTTTCAATTAATTTTTTTAAATTTTTTTGCAATTTTTTCAAGCAAAAATAAATTGAAATTTCACTCCAAAAAGACTTATTGAAAGTGGAAAATAATTCCCAAAACAGTTAGAGAATGATTTGAGACCGAGTGAACTGTTTTAAACATTTTGAACTTCTTGGAAACATTTTGGAAAAACTGCTAGATCATAAAAAACTGCGCGAACTTTCAAGCATTGTGAATGATCGGTTGTTTTTCAAATAACTAAACAATTGAAATCAGATCAAATCCCGATTTCAAACAACTCGATTATGGCAAGCATGAAATTCCTTGAGCTCTCTTACCTGCACCATTACAGCAAAACATCGAAACGATTCCCAAAAATTACATCACGTCAAAGCCTTTTGAATTTCAATTATCTTTTATGATTGGCGCTTTTTCAAACATAGCCAACAGACAGTTGGAAAAGAATCAATGAACGCATGTTAGCAGAAACAAATACTCACTTTGAACTTCTTCAACTAAGCTCTCCGAACCTCCTGGACAAAACACTATTGACTTCTTAGATTAAATAAAATTAAACCAATTTGAGATAACTGGATCAATAAGTAAACTTTTCATTCCGCTGGGAAAACTGAAAATAAAATTCCACATTCAAAACTAGAAATTGATCACGTTTTTCGAGACCTTTATGCTTTTCTGTTCAACAGTGGAGTTTGCATCCTTTTACACAGAGGCGAAGCTGTGCTTCGCAAACACTAGCCAAAACACGACAAAAAGCAGCTCTAAAAAGTAGAAATAAGCCTCAAACTACATCTCGGATTCCATCTCCGACCTGAGTCTCTAGAGATTATAGATTAGAGATTATGGGTCTAGAGATTAGATATTATGAGTATCACACACTAAACAATTAGTCACGGACACTAGCCACGAATACATCACAAACACTAGCCACGAATACATCACAAACACTAGCCACGAATACATCACAAACACTAGCCACGAATAAAGCAGAGAACAGATGCTACGAAATTTCCAATGCTACAGATCGTGATTATAGCAAAAGTGCTTCAAAATAAGGGAACATTTTTAACACCGAGGCGGAGCTGCGCTTCACAAACACTAGCGAGAACACGACAAAAAGCAGCTCTATAAAGTGCAATAAGAAAAAGTAGAAATAGGCCTCGAATTAGTAAAAAAAAAACCATTCGGCTACGCCTCGGATTCGATCTGCGATCATGCGTCAAACGCATTAACCACTCAACCACGGACGCTTAATAAATCACAAGCACTAACCACAAATAAAGCAGAGAACAGATGCTATGAAATTTTCAATACTACAGATCGTGATTATAGCAAAAATGCCACCAAATAAGAGAACACTCATTTGCGAGCAAAGTTAGAAAATCACAAACACTAGCGATGAAAAGCAGCTCTATAAAGTGCAATAAGAAAACGTAGAAATAAGCCTCGAATTAGTTAAAATTCGGCTACGCCTCGGATTCGATCTGCGACCTAGCGATTACGAGTCTTACGCACTAGCCACTCAGCCACTGACGCAAAAAGAAGGTTCGTACTAATACACTACGCTGCTGGCTAGTGTAATGGACACTTTTATCAGCTCAGACATTCACAATTTTTGCGTAATTCTTAATTTTAGTAATTGGAGCAAACTTTGCCTTCATTTTACAAAACGAGTTCCAATAGAAATTTAAAAGACACCATAAGTCAAACCGCGAAAAATTCGACCGTCATCAATTTACCAGACTTTTTCCTGAAACAAAAAACTACGCATCCTAAATCAGTGCATTCAATTCTTTCATGGACGTTTAATAAGCTGACGAACAATAGGCCGCCAACTATTTTTCCAAGAGGAACTTTTCGAGCTTAATAGAAAAAAATTTATCACGTCGGCAATTTTTTTTTAAATCATCGGTGTTTTACACTTTATAAATAGAAAAAGCTCAGTAAAATCTCTGGTGATAATTTTGCGCTATAAATTATAATTAGAATTTCGAAATAAATGAGAAGTCAACTAAACAACACATAGAAGCTCGACTTGAGCAAGTTTTAAGATTTTTCCTTAAAACAACTCAAATAAAACTACTTATACTAAATAAGTGAAAATCACTCAATTTCGTTTGTTTTAAACATTTAATTCGTTCATTAAATCTTATAAGCGTAGTCATAGATATGATTTTCAACTTTCAAAGTCTCGTCAGCATCTCGGAATATGCCGAATTAGACACCTCAGACCAACCTGATTCAATTTTTGGCTGACTCTATTTTGCACAAAAAATGCACTCGTTTACAGTATACAACAATAAATAACAGCCGTATCGGAAGTTAAAGAAACCTAAAAATTGGAAAAAAACTTGATTTTTGACCCTAAAAGCTCGAAAAACGAGTTGGATAGCCTTATTGACCTCACTTTGAATCACGCAGAAGAAAACTGTCTGAAAATTGAATTTAAAGAATGTAATGAATCTCTGAATTAAACCTAACATACATAAATAATTCGGTTCTACAAGTGAATAAATTAATTAAGTCTAAAATTTAAGTTGCGTACTCTTTGTTCTATCTAACCACTTAAAGATCGAATGGCGGCATTCGTTGTCATTTCTTCCCAATAATTAAACTAAAATATCACAGCACATGGATCTCCAAAAAGGGAGAACGATCGTAGCAGAGGAGCACAAGTTCCCCGGGCCCAAGTTGAATCGCACACCACATTAATTACAATTTTCGAACAAAATACACTAGAGGCGTCTGACTAAATAAAAGCAGACTGCTGAAAATAGACGACTGCATTTCCCTAAAACCAGAAGTAAAAAGAAAACTGAAAAGCATCATTATTTTTCAAAATATATTTTTGAGTAGTTCTTTTTTGAGTAGAATAAATATAATTGAGTAGTTCTTAACTTTCTATGGAACTTCTTAATGGGCTTAGCTTAGAAAATTCTTTCAGAAAAACTTGGGCAAAGGGAATATGAGCTCGAAGTGTACAACTACAACAAACTAAACTACAATACATTATCTGATCTCACTTCAACAAATAGTCAATTTACCATCTAATCCTATGACATCATGCCACCACATCTTGACCTTAAAACTAAGTATGAAAATGGGAGATTGTGGAAAAAATCATTTGATTTTGAGTTTACTTTTCTCTCATCACTGTCACCAACTAATAACACCAATCCATATTCCCATCCCTCTCATTCACTGCCCTTGATTGGTTGAAACTGGAGTCTAACTTCATTCCATTTATGCTTCTGTTGATGCTGATCTTGTTGTTCGTGCTGTACTGTTTTCCTTTCACAGCTGTGGAGGCGACTGTCACTGTGAGAAGACGGTGGCTATGATCAGAGTAAAGATGGGAAGTCCGATCACCACGAAGTAGAGCAGTGCCTGTAGAATGGCCATGTACTTCTTCCTGTGCTTGGAGGCATGGATATAGGCTATGCAGCAGCAGATCTGGTACGAGTTCTTCCCAGCGTGGAAGCCTGGAAACGGCAACGAGTCCAAATTGCCGACACCAACCGAGGGTCCGCCACCAGAGGATCCCCCTACAACTGTGGTGGTAGCAAAGGTAGAACTGCCGCGTGTTTGCATCTGCTTCGATCGTTTGCGGTAGGCTTTGGAGAAACATTCTTTTAGCTTTGCCGCCAAGTCTGTCAATTCTACTACGTGGTGGATGTAAGACCTACATACTGCACACTTGGTGGTCGTAGCCACACTCTCACATGCCTGTGTCTTAAGACAGAAGCCGCAGAATTTGTGGTGACATGGCTTGCAACTCACTGGATAGTACATGATGTCTAAGCAGATCGGACATTGATGCTCCCGTGCTAAATCCGTCCAATAAAACTCCTCGTCGGAGCTACTTGGACTTTCGTTTGAACATGTCGCAGCAGAGGTGGATCGAATAACTGTTGCGCCTCTAGGCGCCATGTCTGCGCTCGCCAGCATTCGGGGATGTCCAAGAGGTCTTCGGAGCGAAGATGGTGAGTTGGAAGCGCTGAAAGTCCAGTCCGCATTACGACGGAGTCTTCGATTGATTTGGCTCAAATTAGTCTCGTGTGTTGACACAAAAAATGAACCAGTGTTAATGCCTGTACTATGATTTCCTATTGTTTGCTGCTGAGTAGTGGATTGTTCATCATTTAAAGTTCTCATATTCGTTTCGAAATTGGACATGGATATGCTATGTCTCCTTTGATGCGAGGATCCGACTTTCAGGTCGCTAGTGGGGAAACAGGAGCGAATGGAGGATAATTCAGGCGATGTCAAATGATCAGAGTCGAAGTCTGCGAGGAAGCGAGAGGAAAGCATAATTTCGCCCGTTTCGTCTGCTACTGCATCAGTATCGTTGCTACCCATCGAAACTAGACTGTTAGGAGATGACCTCACTGGCCGCAAGGCATGCGGCGGCAACGCTCCCTCGGAAGATATGCGTAAGTTGTCAGGATGGAGAGGGTCTATGATGAGACTCAGTTCAGCACAGATACGGTCGTAGTTCTGGTCAAACGTATCCGCATCAGCCGTCGCTAAATTTAGAGTACTGATAGTGGGAGACTCTGGGTGGAAAGGGTCATGTAGAGGGGAGACGTTCTGATTCACAAACGAAGGATTGTGACTAGGATGGAAAAACCCCCCGCTGCTACTAGCCGTTCCTGCTAGACTACTTGGACAGGGAATAGGCTGTGCGCAGGAGCTGCTGGTGGTGCCTGTACTTGCACCTAGAGAGTTTAGTGAATTGTTGTTTATATTGCAGTAGGTAATGCTGACATTGCCACAGAGAAAGTAAAGCGAAGACCCGAACGTCTGTCTACAATGCAGACATTTCATCTCGTTTGTGAAGTTGAATGAACCTATATGGAGCTGACACTTTTGACAGTACAATTTTCCCTTGGTCCAGTTTGTCAGTTCCAGGCGCTCCCGAATCCATTCAGGTAACACAGTGGGAGCACTGGCTACGAATGCGAAGGATTCCCTCATATCATCGCCCCATTCACACTCCTGGCTCTGGTCGGGGTCCAGATGGGCCGGAGAGAGAAGCAGCACTCCCTGGGCCGCCGTTAACCTACACTGGCTACAAGAGACATCGGCGCTCAATTGGCAATCCTGTTTGGGCGACAACTCCTGGTCACCCGTCGCAAAGTTGGAAGTCATAATCTTTGTGACTCAGATGCAAATAATATTGCGATTGAAACGGAGCCTCAGCCTCTTCACATAATGTCCAATGTTCAAGTGAAAATGTTTTCGGTAACGAATAACTTGAGGTTATCGCATTGCGATGAACATCATCTAGGTCTGAAATATCCGAGCAGTTTAAGCTAACAAAGCCAAATAGATATCGCAAGGGTTTATAAACAAGGCGAGTTGAGCTACACAATCTGAAAATTGGTGCAAATTAACAGCAGGGGCGTCATAAATTAGGCGTCACAAACTATTAACCTAATTCTATCTGGATTGTGATAAATCATTTCGACCTGGAAATTCTTCGCAAACCTAACTTCGTTCCGAATGAAGTTGTTTAGAGCTTTATTTTTTCACTTTTTGCTTTCCAGCCTCGATGAAGAAAAGGCAGTTTAAAGTAAAAATAAATTCACTATATTTTTCAAAAAAGAAGACTAGGAATTGGTGTTTGATTATGTGCTCACAATTGCAATTGGTCTCAACGAGGATCAGTTTTGAGGAAAGTGGTTGTTTTGCAGTGAGTTCAGATGTTTGATAAAAGAATTAACATTGTCTCTGTGCTTTATTGAATGGATACTTATTTGCTAGGCTGCGTGCTTAATGTCTGCGGAGTTTATAGACCACTTTGGTATGGCGCTGCGATTGCTGTATGTTAGTTATATTGTGTCATCTGCCGGTTGGAATTGGTTTGAGTGGTGTGGATTGGTGGCTTCTGCGTGCAGGCTGTGTTGGTTTTGTTGATTAAATGTTAATGGGCAGTCGTCTCCTTCCTCTTTCTTCGTCATCTTCCCCTGACTGAGATGGCTAAACTGCGGATTGTCAGCTTATCTCCCCTCAGAATAATAAACCACATAGTTAAACCCATTCCAGACAGCTCTTGGCATTGCAAGTTGCAGCTTCATTTGAAACTTGATCATCACCAGCAGCAGCCGCTTTTTTCTTCCATTCGATATATCCTAGAACTCTGAAAAACCATCCAGAATGTCCCTTTGGAAGCTTGTTTACAAAATACCAGTGCATCTCACTCGCAACACCAGCCTCCATCAAGAGAGCGTCACGGTCCTCACAATTTCGTTGCCCGCCTCTTTCCTTCCTGATTACGTCTTCTCTTGTATTATCTCTTCTGTTCATCTAATGACTTCGGGTAGAAACTTGACACAATTCTCTGCTCCACAGAGACACACTTTCCCACACAAGGACACCTCCCGTGCTCCACTGCTGAAAAATTTCATCTCAGTACGGAAATGAAAGCTATATTATAAAACCACTCGAAAGTCAAAAAATACTCGAAAAACATTGAAAAATTAAACTGATAAAATAAAAAATTTTGTAGGTGAAAAATCAATACCAGAAAAACAGTCATGACACATAACCAACAGCATTAAATAAGCTTTTACCGAACGAGTGACCACAAAGACGGCAATACTTTCAGTAGACGCTAACTGAGCGAAAACAAAAAAAAAGAAGAAACAAAATAAGAAGAACTATGTTCCTACATTTGGTCATCTTTCATGATCAATTGAAGCTTGAAGCACTAATACCCAACTCAAAAAAAAAGATACCAAAAAGTTAGCAGGTCTTCGTATAGAGCTCAACAGCTCGTAGGTTCGTCTTGTCCCTCGTGTATACATTGTCTAAACATTCGACTTTTTGAATGCTATGAACCTGTAGCTGTAGCAGAGTTGTTCTACGTGCGGTTGAATATCCCTCACTGCGAACATGCATATATGGGGTATTTCACTGTCCACTCGGACTGGAACCAGGAGAAGGTTTGGATCACAAGAGTGGTTCACTCTCTTCCCAAACCCAAACACACCACAATCACCTCCACTACTATCACAATCTTCCTCTGCTCCATCGATACACGTCATTACCACATTATTGCTGTTCCTAAGCATTGGAAAGTCTTATCAATTGCTAGTTAGCAGAAAGAAACGCAACACAGATTGACCTTAAAGTTTCACTCTCAATCTAGTTAGGTGACCTCCTATGAAAATAAATGTCTCCATCTCCTTCCTTCATGTCTAATGTAAAGTAATTCAATGCAATTACAAGAAAATATATGTTCCAAGAAATAGTTGACAAGCTCCCAATCAACCAAACAATTGAACGGTATAAATTGAACGTATAAATGTGAATTTTTTCGGGAGAGGGGGCGCAGTCCACTTTGAGAGATCGCGCAAAAAATGCCATTTTGACAAGCCTCCAAATAACAGGTGAGAATTAACACAGATGCGAAGCAAAGCTTCGCAACACTTGCGATACATAAGCATGCAGAGTCAATTACCTATTGGCGAAAAAGCCGAAAACACTTGGGTAGACAAGCGTTGAGTCGATACTTGTCAACTCCTTTTTTGCGAGACAAGGATTTTGTCATTGCGTACTGGTTAATAACACGGACAAATCAAATCCAACAGAACAAGTTTTTTTTGATGGCAAAACATGTAATCGAGCAGCAAAAACAATCTTTATAAGAGAGGCAGATCAAATTAAAGACATCTGAAACCTAAAACTTAGTTTAACTGGAGCAATTAAAATGAGACTGCTCGCTCGCTTTATCGAAAAATCAAAAATTTCAAACCGGTTTTTCTCGATACCTTGAAAAACTTTTTGGAAATTTCTCGATGTCGTCCAAACTACGACTGAAAGGGCTTAAATTTGATATATCACTCGACCCATCCCGATGAATTTTAGAGGATTCTGATTTTGGGCGTAAAAAACAAAGGGACACGCCCGTAACAAAGCTCCTCCTCATTTTCGATGTCGATCAATTTTTTTTTAAAAACAATTAGCTTGCAGTCCTAATCACGACTGAAAAGACCTTATTTGTCCAGCCGTTCACTCGACTCCTGACTAATTTCCTTTTGTGAGAACTTGCCTAGGCGTAATGAATAAAGAATTCCTATTTCCAAATTCTCGTAATTAATTGCAGTTTAAACCAAATTAGCCTGTAAACTAAAATTGGCTTAAAAACCTATTGTGCTCTAAATTTGTCTGACAACCAAATTTATTACAACCAGTTTTTCTCGACAGCTTTTTGACAGACATCGCTTTTTGCAGAGAATTGTTGAAATCAGCTAAAATTTAATAGGGTTAAATAGTTCGAGTTATACTGCATCGACTATTTTAGTATTCGATCTTAAGTGTCTTTTTAGTTTTAACAACTGAAAAAATTGAAATTATGCAATCAAGCTATTTTGTGACATAAAAGGTCTTCTCAATGTCCCGAAAGCGTTTTTTATCGTCTTATGGCGAACGATTGTATTGCCGTTTGCCTCAAACCACACCAAAGTGCTTCCATATACTACGTTGCTCGATCTTACAGTTGTCTTCGAAGAAAAACACAAAACTTAAGTTAAAACATAGAAAGCGGCAAAGCGGAGCTTCGCACCACTTGTGATACAACACAAACTTGAGCAACATAAGTCGAAAAAATGAAAAGTTGAAAAACTAAGTCTACCAACATGTATGTCTCGATAGAAGTTCATTATACCAGAAATTTGAATATTAAGTTAGCAACGGAACAAAACTTACGAAGAGGAAACAAAGCCGACAATATTTGAGCAGACACAAATTGAAAAAAAAAACTTGCAACTCCAATGAAAGTTGCTTACAGCACAAGCAAAAACCGTGATGAGGCAACTACGCCGACAAAATTTGAGCAGACAAACCAAGTCCGACAATTCAATTTTAACCCAAAATATTTCAATTGCATGCCAATCGATTAAAAAAAGGTTCGGCCGAGAATCGAGCCCCAGACCTTAGGGGGCAAAGGCGACGGCATTATCTTTAGACCAAGTGAGACGGAGCCTGCGAAATGTTATGGTTCAATCATAAAGAAAAGATTTGTACAGAGAAGAGAAGAATAGAAGATATGCAGGAATAGCTGTTTACGGGAAAAAAGTCTTGTTTCCGACTACAAGACACTTGCCCTCGCAAATGTACTTAAATTTCTTTAAAAAGCAACACTTTGTTCTATAGATAGAACGTTGAATGAAAAAATCTCAGGCAGCACGTGATCTGCAATCTGCGAACAAAGTTATTTACAGGAAAAAATTGTTGAACGGAAAAATTTTACGAGGAAAAATTGTTTTAAGGAAAAAAGTTTAGTTCCCGGTTAAAAATCACTTGATTTGGCAAGTTAAATAATTAAAATAAATTTCCACTCTGATAGATGCTCTATCGTTCATAAATTTAAACTCACCTATTAGTAAGTTTATCGTCGTCACAAGAATAATTCTCTTTGAATATGATGACGTAATTATGAGATTTGGTTCCACAGTTCGTTTCCATCCTACTGACTGCTTTATCGTGTGAGATTACCGCTCCCTCGTACTCACACACAAAAGATCCTTTAGGAATCGCGGTTGAAGAGAACACGCCCAATCCCACTTGCGAAGAAACTAATCTAAACAAAACTTCTCACAGATTTATAGTAGTTGGTTTTTGAAGGTTTATTTGATTTGTTTCAAAATCATTAAGTTAGTTCAGATGATCTTTCACCAAAGTTTAAGTTGACACACACGTTGAAAAAGTTCATGCTTTTCCAATATGAAACATTGGCAAATAAATGTTTTATAAAATTGTTTTTACGGCACTTAAATTACCCGGTCAAAAAATAAGGCGAAACATGAAACCTATATGATAGAAGTTTTGAAATAACTCTTTCGACCGCTTGTTCCGAAGACAAAAAAAAAAGATAGGACAATAGAGTTCATTCATATTTAATATACTTAAAAATGAAAAGAGAGATACAATACTGACTGCCTCACTTGGTGTACAGAGATGGCCAGTGGCGTATAAACTGAGTGAGTCTGGATGGACAGCTGGGACCACATGGACACCTTTCATGGCACTCGAACACGGGGGGAGACCTACTTTCATGCAAGAAGTAATCAGTCAGTCTTCGGTTTTTGTAAGGTACTACACCACTTGACAAACTCGTACATTGGCAGCGAGATGAAGTCTCAGGAGATGTGCATTCGCCTGAGTCAGTGCACGTAGCAGAACATCCTTGTAGCATAATGAGAGGAGACAATTAACTTTGTTCAGTTAATTCAAGTTAACAAGCTTAGACAACAGACAGACAATTACATCTGAAAAAATAAAGATGTTATATTACGAATGCAAACCGCTTGAATAAATCATACTGAAAAGATTCAGTTTCCAGCCTCTGCCAAAAAGCTCCAAAAATTAACCCTCACAAAAATTAACCCTCACAAAACAGAGAGGCGAAGTGGAGCTTCAGACCACTTGCGATACAACGCAAAAATAGCACGGCAGCCGGTCAAAAAAATTAATAAAAAAGTCATTCTTTGTTACGTTTGCCTCGAATGCAGTTCAATTAAAAGAAAGACGTGAGAAACAATATCCAGTGTTAAAAAATATTGAAAAACAAACTTGTTCAAGCTGTACCTAAGTAGTACATGGCTCCGAGGCAACAGAGAGTTCCAAAAATCTGAGTTCGCCGGCCCCAAGGATGCAGCGATTACTTCAAAAGTAAACTAGGCGTGCATCAAGGATCGGCTCTTAGTAATGATGGCATTTAAAACAGTAATGGAAGAGGCTGCAAAAAACTGTCGTTCCATGGTACCATGGGATATGCTATATGCAGAAGACCTTGTGATATCCGCTGAAATGGAATCCCAGTCTATTGAGAAGTTTAATACTTGGTTTAAAACTCAGCGCGGATAAGAAAAGCATTTGATTTCAGGCCAAAAGTCTATTCCTCAAAAAACCGGAAAATAACCATGCGCTTGTTGTTTGACAGGAGTCGGCGCCAATTCAATAAGCTGTAATTTTTGTAAGCATACTATGAAAGAGTTCTGCTATCTGGGTGATATAATTTCCGTTGAAAGTGACGCAATACGTGCATCATCGGTCAGAATATCAGCATTGTGGACGAAACGATGTAATGGCCATGTTCAACGGAGAAAAGACAAGCAGGAAGGCCTAAAAACGCTGGAACGATTGCGTTAAACGAGACCTGAATACTTTAGGCCTCAAATCCACAGACTGCCTTAATCGAATGGCATGGAAAATATGTTATCCTCCATTTATCAGCTGGAATGCCCTCATCTGAACTGAACTATTGTTTACGCGCTTTCCGGATGTCGAACCCCGCCACAATGGTAAAACGGAAAATAAACGCATTAGTAGTAGTAGTTCAAAAGAAATCGCAAAACCGCAAAAATCATCACGACTAATATAAAAGTGTCCACTACGTTCATTGAAACTTAAAAAATATTATATTTGTGCTTCATGTATTAAGAAAAACTAGCAGAAATGAGTTAAAATCAATTTTAAAAATCAGAAGCAATTCCAATCAATACTCATTTTTCTAGCGGAGAACTTAAAACTGAATCTGAATAGGAAAAAATATTCAAGCCAGTTTTTCTTGGACAGAGGCGAAACGAAGCTTCCCATCACTTGCCACACCACAAAAAAAAATGAATTGCAAGCTAGCAGACAGGAAAGGAGAAAACGAAAAAAAAAATAGAAGAAACTACCACCAAAACTTCATAACGTTGTCTGGAATGTTCTATTTGTGGAAAACACGTTCAGAAACGCATTCGACGTCGTTTAATGAAGTTTTAATGTAAAATTTTCAACATTCTAAGCGATCCGGAGCAAAGCATATAATTTATGATTCCCTCGAAAGACCTAAAACTAGTTTAGTTGGCCGATAAAATATATAAGCCGAAATCATTTAGGACGAAAAAACGTTTAAGCAAAAAAAAGGAACATATGGGAAGTCAAGGGTAGTAAATGATTACATAAAAAGCAACACAATGAAAATTGTATGCAGCAAAAAAATTGTGGCAACTAGGACGACAAAACATAAGCAGACAAATAATAAGCCTCCAATTTCTTTGGAACTGAAAATTTCCCTTTGGAAAAAAACAGATCCTGGTCAGATTCAAACCCTGGACCTTTGTCGTCCCAGGCGTATTCGTTACCTCTAGACTAAGGATGCCGAAGACTCTTAGAACTTTGAAATCATTATGAACCAAGATAACAGGTTATTTGAGCGGTTCTGTTAAACAAAATGTTAGCCTGAAAAAAAGGTCTATATTCCAATTTCATAACGCTTGCTAATCGCAAGCGTAAACATTGAGAGAGCTTTCTTGACTTCTTTTTCGAATCCCGGTCAGGACTAAAAATACTTCAAAATGGTATCACGAGAGCTTTCTTTCAAGTATCTGAAACCGAAACGAGCGAAAAACCCAACCCTATTACACATTGATAGCTAGTGCAGCGAAAAAATGCTCTTACTTCGTCATCTGCATTTGTAATTAATCAAATTGTGCCATGACTGTAGTTTTTTTTCGTTCCGAAAAATCGCAGATCACAAGTCCTGCGCTTTTTCTTACGCAATAAATTGGATCCAAATGATACAAAAGAAACCTGCCACGACTTAATTCATCGTTCTTCTCAAAGTATTAAAAAAACTGCATCAGCTTTATTAAACAAGACAACTCATTGGCAGAATACTTTCAGTTTATCTTCAATAAAATCAACAAGTAGACTGACAACTGAACTTCAAAAGAACTGCAGTTATTTTTAAGTTGTTTCTAAGTATAAAGCACAACAAACAAAATAACATATTTCTTTGGCTGGAAAGAGGAGGACAACAACCACAATTGGAAAGTATCTGTGAGCTACAACCAACAAGCACAAGTGTTCAGTTTGTGGATCTACTTCGATTGTTCACTATTACGTATTAACTAAAAACAAAATCTACATGCAACCAGATTTCTTATTGACAATATCATTTTAAAACCGTATTTCCATAGATACTTTGCAACCACTCCGATAACTACTAACCATTTCGACTTTAATGCCAAACCTTTTCGCCAGGGGCGGATTTAGGGAGGGGGCTCATGGATTAAATCCCCTCGCCAACCAAAGATTCCCCCTTTGGTATTATTTTATGACATCCATTTTCGGCCAAACAGCCTTAAAAATTTTCTATGCGCGCCAATATATACTAGTTTTGAAGGAGAGCGCGCGCCGAAAAAACGCAACTTTTTGGGCTAAATTTTCCAATAAGTGCTCCAAAAATGGCATTTTTGATCCGTTTTTTCAAAAATTTGCCTGCAGCGCTAAATTTGTCAAAATAGGGTCTTTATACTGTTCTCGGAGCGCTCGTAAAATCAACCGCCCCGCTTCCCCCCCCCCCCCATCGAGAAAATCCTAGATCAGCCCCTGCTTTCCACCACACCCCGCATGAAATGAATCAAGCTCCTGAGACGATCTCTCAAATAAGAAATGAGGCAATTCCCATGAATGGCAGAGAAGGGATTAGTTCCAGTGACTCACTTGGTGAGATCTATGGCCGAAGCTACACAATTCCTCTGGCGTCCGGCCCTGGTGACTATTCACGGCGAAACAGTGCCGATGAAACATGGACGAAACCACGAATATCTTCACCTAGTTCCGCCGGCTACTCTACCACAACAATGAGCAGCACCTCTAGTGTGTGCAGTAGCACTGATAAAGAGGTGTACAGTAGTGTCAAGAGAGTTCTTTCAAGGAGGGAGACTTCTTTCTTCAGGTCTGTGCGAGTAAATTAGTCAGGAAATTAGTTTAATTGGAAGAAAAATGAACGAAGATGTCAAAAAAGTTTTAAGCGTTGTCATTAGCCACGAACAATTGATTCAATTCATTTCCTTTTCAAAATATGGGTCACTCAAAAGTATAAGCGGCTTTTAACCACTTACTACTAATTAGCATCAAATTAATCTTTTTGACACTATTCTTCAAACTATAGAAATCTAAAGATGAATTCATAGCCTCTCGCCAAACACAGCCCCTAAACCCGGGCGCTACAGACATACTTGGAAAACAAACAAGGTGCATGTAATGCGTGTTTGTTGTCTCTATTTTATTGTTCTGGTTGCTTGTTAGCAACCTTGTTTGATCTGTTTGTGAGTTAGGTCGGACGCAACACCAGTGATAATGAGAGACAAGGACCAAGTGCATGTGGAATTGAGAGGAGTGAGTCTATCCACTTCTTCCGATTGTGCACACCATAGCAGAGAGAGGAAGAGTGCAATGGAAGCAGACAAAAAAGAAACTGATAGCCATGAAAGCATCAGCGACCATTACTACAGCATTTCAGGTTTCATTGCACATTAAGCACCTCGCCATTTCTCAAATGGACCAACCTAACTAAACCCGCTTACCTTATAGATTATGGTAATTCCAAAGCTACAAAAACCAATCCAAGCAAAAACTAACAAACTGAAAAGCATATGCTAAAAGACCTATCCAAGCTAAAAAAAAAAACTAAAAAGCCGATCCAAGCAAAACAAACAAGTTCATAAAGCAAAGTTAACTCTTTTCATAACAACCAACATAAACGAAAATGCATATCCATTTATAACTCTTGAGTGAAATTCTTTGTTTTTACAGGAATAGTAGGGACCAATTCGAGTGAGCAGAATGAGTTAAGGAGTGGCGATCGGGTGTTTGGTATCTGTGCGGAGAGCGAGTTGTTCTCAGACTACGCAGTCACTCGCTCATGCAATTTATGTCTCTTACCCTCCAATATGTCCTTCTCAGAGGGGGCCATAGTTGGCGTGGACTATTTGGTAGCCTGGTGGGCACTGCATGAAAAACTACAGGTAAGAGACTCCGTTTTGAGACTCTGTTATGTTACCTTCGGTTTTATTAAGCTTACCCGATGAAAAAACGGTCTTATATTTCAAACCATCAAAAATTTCTCAGTCAATTTCTGATTAAATTTTTAAACCATGGCTACCTTAAACTGTAGCTAATCCCTAAGTAACTGTCTGCATAGGTTCCAGAGGGTGGAAGGTTGATGGTGAAGAATGCACATAAGAATATTGGACTGGCAGTGAGTCAACTAGCCACACTTCACCACATACACGTAATGGCCACAATAGACAACAGCAGTCAATCATGTCTTGACTTCATTCAACACACAGTCGGCATCAAAGATACCAAGTCCGCTACACCGATGCACAATCACATACACGGCCTAACTGCCTTGAACAGCCCAAAGCATAAGCATGAATTAATGACAGAGCAACATGAACGCCATGATAACAGAGGTCCAAAAAAAGATCATACAGCAGCAAATACCAGAACACTTGGACATAATACTACAAGCACTACGCATGTGTTTCAACTCCAAACTCCTCTTAGCATGGAAAGCAGGAGTAGCAGAGGTAGTATTAATAGTAGTTGGAGTAACAGTAAAGATAATGGTGTTAGTGCGGCCAACTACTCATCTAATCCCACTCTCCATCATGTCCATCAGCCACCACATGGAATTAGCAGCAGAAGCGATGGTAAGAGTAATGGAAGTTGTGGCGGAATAAGCGATAAGCATGGAATAAGCAACCTAAACAGCAACAAAAATAGAAACACTCGTTCAGACAGAGACGAATGTGACCTCCTACTCACAAATAAGGAAAATGGAACTGCAAATAGAAGTAGGCAGATAATCAATCAGGAAAAAAAGGAAAAAGGTCAACACAACACTCACTACAGCGCCTCTACATGTATTTCCACGGAGACTAAGTTCAACTCAAATCATCCCACACGCCCCTTCAGTAACAGTAATGACGTCACAGCTACTACCACCGCTGCACCATCAATTTTAAAAGTAAAAACCCGAGGTCGCATATGTCCCAATCTCACCCTGGAGGGATACAACAACCATAAAGAGGGTAACCCTATTGTATCTCAATCACCATCACACTATTCTACTAGGAGTATTAGCAGTAGTTCTAATAATGGTAAATGGAGAAATATTCAATACCAGATCGATAACTCTATCTACAGTGATCAAACAAACGGCAGTCATAAATCCAATCACAGATCCACCTCCTCGTCCTCCCCCCGAGCGACGGCGGATCTGTCTCTGTCATGCATGGGAAAGGGAGGCCGCATTCTCCTGACCAGAACATCGAACTGTGCCTTCCTAATCAACAGTCTTTTATTGTGTGCGAAAGACCTGCAAGCAATGGGGGTGTCCATAGCTAACATACCACCACCTAGACGTCGGAATATTCTCAACACAATTGCTAGCTATTTCTCACAAGGGTTACTGCAAGCACACGTGACCAAGACCTATCCAATCGAACTGCTCAGTAGAGATGACGGCTTGCAAAACTCAAAGTTGAAGAAAGCGTCATTTGGTAATGCCGTTATTTTGTACAACTCAGCATCCGAACTCCTATAGCTGTCTAATTGCATTTTACGAAAATTTAATTCACTAGCAAAAATTTGACCACAAGTATCATAATTCAAACTTGATGTCTTTCAAAAACTGTTATATCGCTTTCAATAACAATATTAAACTGGTAATTATACCAAAGAGTTTAGGAAGCTTACATCTTGTCAACAATTGTGTTGAGCTATATATAGTGAGTAGATATTTGCATCACTTGCCGTGGTCGATGAGATGCGTTTCTTTAGAAAACAAATTCAAACACATAGGCGAGCCTCACTTTTGATACAACGCAATCACAGCATTGTAAACAATGAGACGAAATAACAAAATCGAAAAATATATATATTTCGGTGAATGGAAAAAAAATCAGAAAAATAGTCAAGAAACACTACAAACAGCATTAAATAAGTCTTCATTTTTTTAACAAGCCACCACTAGGCCAACAATGCGTTCATTAAGCCGAAAACAAAAAAATGCCATGAGAAATTTGTAACATTAAAAAAACTTTTGAAAAATTTTGTACGACTGTCAAACAGTTGTCTCCAATTTTTCTTTCTCATTATTTTTATCTGGATTTTCTATCTTTTTTCTGTTTTTTAGCCTTTTTTCAATCTATCTATCTTTTTTCCCTGTCTTTTTCGATCTTTTTTTGTCTTTTTGAAACATTGAACTTTTGCAAGACAAACTAGTTGAATTTTTTGTGTAACCAAAAATTTTGCCCATGAATTAACTGAAATTAAAAGGACTAAGCCAATAAAACATCAGCCGAAATCATTTTGGCCGAACGAATCTTTTAAGCGAAACGAACAAAAATCAGGGCTAATAATTTTATAATTACAGGAAAACATCAAAAACTTGTATCTATAACAAAAATTGCTGGCCGGACAAGAAAAACCTAAAATATGACTAATAAGGCGACAAAACATAAGCAGATAAACAAAAGTCTGCAAATTCATTTTTTCACGGAAAATTTTTCAATTTCATACATACTGAAAAACAGGTCCAACCGAGACTCATCCGCAGACCTTAGAGTACAAAGACAGTCGCGTTATCTGTAGACCACATGGAGAGCAGCCTCGAAATTGCGAAGGTTCACTAATAAAGTAACTTCAGAAGTAAGAAAAGACATGTTTACGAGAAAAAAGTCTAGTTCCCAATTAAAGACCTTTGCTTTTGCAATTGTTACCTAGTTGACAGTAAAATGAAGAAATTTATATGTTACAGTCAATTTTTTTTTTAGTTCAAGAACTTTTTGGCTCCTAAAAAACCTTCCAGATTTAAAATTCGATCATCCAATTAAGGCAAAAAACACCAACAGCAAAACAACAAAATTTAGAGAATAAGGATTCTTGAGGTTTTCGGTGCCACAACTACTGGAAAAAAAACAGACAAAAAAAACTGAAGAATCAAAAGCCAGACAATGGAATTGATGAAAATCGAACTCTTTTTTTTTTAGGTTTGCTGTTCATACATTCTGCCGTTAATAAAATTATAGCATTCAAAAAAAAGAAAACTTCATCGTCTTTATTCTCTGAAAACAAAGATTTAAATAAGGATAGCCGGTTGCTGTGCAAGTAGGACAGAACATTTGGTCAGAAAGGTTAGTGAGAAATTCAACGAACAATAAAAAAAACATCTACGTAGCTCCAATAAGCAGCTATTTTAAGATCTTCGAGTCCATAAAATAGAAACAAGACCCTAAAAAGACCAAAAACATCCAAATGCGTTTTCCATAACAAAAATTTTAAAAAGAATAATTTTTTCTGTATATTTACTTATTTTTTAAATGAGATTCCTGTGTAACTTATTTATTCAATTTCATTAGAACGCACGTATATCACTTGCTGCCATCAATCGTTCAATCCAGAAAAACAAATTTAATTCAAATCGACTCTTTGGAAAAGCTTTCAGACTCTTATTAAATTGTGATAAAACTTGAAAACGTGATTTCTCGGGAACCGAAAAAATTTGAGCAATCAACGAAGATAAAAAATATTTTCAGGAAAATTTTCAATCAAAATGCAAAGATAATTTACAAAAAAGGCGAAGTGGAGCTTCGCACCACTAGTGATACAACATAATCATTAAAAAATTGAACTTTTTCATCTCATTGAAATTTTCATCTCAGATTTGAAGGGAGAGTTTTTTCGGTCAAATAAATACGGTCAAAGAAAAAAGTACAAAAAACGAGAATAAATAGCTTTTTCCGAGGATCATAGTTTTTTGTTTTAAGAAAATTGGGCGTAGCCATTTATGCAGAAAAATTTATCCAAACAGGTAAATTCGTTTGAACCCAAAAACCCAGGTTTAGCAGGATAGTTCTCGAGAGAAGTCGAAAAGTTTCAAAAAACTGCCAAAATTACAAAATTTTCATTTTTCTGAGAGCCCTTATTTTTTCTGTCCATAAAATTGGCCGTAGTCGCGTATGCAAAGGAGCTTCCCACAGCCCGTGCTTTAAGTTGAACCTAAATCCAAATATGGTAATGTATTTTTTAGTAAAATTCATAAAAACGACAAAAAACAACAAAAAATCTGAGTTTTCCAAGGATGATAATTTTGTGTAAAAAAAATTGTGATTTGTATCTAATATATATGAGCTTCCCAATGCCCGTTATCTTAAGTGAAACCACAACCTCAGGTTTGGGAGGTTGGTTTTCAAGAAAAGTTTAAAAAAATATTCAATAGTTTTAAATAGTTTTAAATGTAAAAGAAAGTTTGGGCGTAGCCGCTTATAGAGGAAAGTGTTTCAAATCCGTTTTATTCATTGAAACGAAAATCTTATATGTTAAGCTTTGAGAAAACTAAAATATCAAAAACATCAGTCAGATGTTCCCGCACAGACTTTTCGAAGGCTGTAGATAAAGGGACAAAGCAAAAAGAGACCACAGGAGTATGCAGGCTCACATTAATATAGGCGGTCTTTCTATCTTTTTTTTTTGAAAATCGGTAGAAAGGTTGTTGAGAAAAAAACTTTTTACAAAAAGTGATAATATTTTCCCAAGCGTCTATAAATAGTTTTAAAAACCCAATTCCATACACACTCAAAATACCTATTTTTATCAAAGTTGAAAACGAGGCAAATATGCCAATCAAGACATTTCAAATTCAAACTTATAACTGATCAAAACTTATAAAGCGGAAACAACCTTTGAGCAGACACCAGTTGAGCTTAAAAAAAACTAATTTCGTGAAAAACTTTAAAAGTTTCAAGTCCCCCCTGAAACTACACTGTAGTAACAAGTACCTACACAGTAGTTAAATTTGAATTTCCATGAAATTGAGCATGTCAGCACAGCAGCATCATAAGTGATTCAACTGATTTTGTTTAACTAGTTGTTAACCTGAAAAAAAATCTACATTGCGATTTAATAACGCTTGCTAATTACAAGCTTAGTGGAAAAATTTTCGCAGCCAGTTCTTAGTTCACGAGATGCTCGAAATGTTTTAAAAAACGATCAAAAAATCAAAAATTTGACTTTTCCGAGAACCAATAAATATTGGTGTCAAAAAAATGGGGCATAATTGAAGTATCAAATGAGCTTCTGGCAACCCGATCTTCGAATTGAACTCAAAAAGTCAGATATGCCCGGGTAGTTTTCGAGAAAACTCAAAAATTTTTAAAAAACACGGTCCGAGAAAAATAAATATCAGTAAAACAAATTTGGGGGTCCCACTATATTAGTTCCACTACCTGTTACCTCCATTGAACACACAATTTCAAGTTTGGGGTTAAATTTTAAGAACAGACAAAATTTCAAAAACGGTCAAAAAGTCAAATATTTGACTATTCCGAGTACCATAAATTTGTGTGCCTGAAACGTACGTGTATGCATGTCTCAGGTCTTCCCCCTCCATATTTTGATTAAAAAACCAATTACTTTATAAATTGGTTTTTTTAATCAAAATATGGTGGGGGAAGACCTGAGACATGCATTAACGTGCGTTTCAGGCCCTGAAACGCACGTTTAGAAGGATCATGTGTAAAAAGAAGAACGTGATAAAGCAACATTAAAAGTATGCGCGCAGCAAAAAAAACAATTCCAAGATTTGCCAACTTAGCCGAAAAAAGATAATCAGACAAATAATTGGCCGAAAAATTAATTATTTGCAACAGAAACAATTTACATTATGATACAAGGTACCACTAGAGATGAGGCCAGACGTCCTGTGAACAAAGTGATTTACGGGAAAAAAGTCTGGTACCCGATTGCAATACCCTTGCTTATCGCAAGGGTACTAATCCCAATATAACAGTGGTAGTGGAATTGGTCAGCAAATGGATATTTTATAAACGGAACTGCAACAGTTTATTCAACTGAGTATTGTTCACTGAATAATTCAAACAATCTTCAGGAAATTCCGTGTGGAACAAAATTTTGGGATGACGCTTTGTGATCAGCTGGGTTCGCCGCAATTTCGTAACTCGTTATCGTTAACTCGGGGCGGAAATCTTTTATGTAGTCACCTTGCAACCCAATAAAATTTATTTGTGTCGAATCATCTCCAAAATTATCGGAAAAATGAAGTGAAAGCATCGATAAATTCTGAAACTTTGTTTGCTTTACCGGATAATGCAATGCGCCTTCTGTATCTATACTTAGCTTTATGGTTTGGCTTACATCAATATTGGAAGCTTCGTCAAACTCGAGCGGTTTTTTCGCGTTAAAGAGCCGCACCGTTTTTGGATGAGAGGAATCATCCGGACCTATGACAAATATGGTGGGGAAGACCTGAGACATGCATTAACGTGCGTTTCAGGCCCTGAAACGCACGTTTAGAAGGATCATGTGTAAAAAGAAGAACGTGATAAAGCAACATTAAAAGTATGCGCGCAGCAAAAAAAAACAATTCCAAGATTTGCCAACTTAGCCGAAAAAAGATAATCAGACAAATAATTGGCCGAAAAATTAATTATTTGCAACAGAAACAATTTACATTATGATACAAGGTACCACTAGAGATGAGGCCAGACGTCCTGTGAACAAAGTGATTTACGGGAAAAAAGTCTGGTACCCGATTGCAATACCCTTGCTTATCGCAAGGGTACTAATCCCAATATAACAGTGGTAGTGGAATTGGTCAGCAAATGGATATTTTATAAACGGAACTGCAACAGTTTATTCAACTGAGTATTGTTCACTGAATAATTCAAACAATCTTCAGGAAATTCCGTGTGGAACAAAATTTTGGGATGACGCTTTGTGATCAGCTGGGTTCGCCGCAATTTCGTAACTCGTTATCGTTAACTCGGGGCGGAAATCTCTTATGTAGTCACCTTGCAACCCAATAAAATTTATTTGTGTCGAATCATCTCCAAAATTATCGGAAAAATGAAGTGAAAGCATCGATAAATTCTGAAACTTTGTTTGCTTTACCGGATAATGCAATGCGCCTTCTGTATCTATACTTAGCTTTATGGTTTGGCTTACATCAATATTGGAAGCTTCGTCAAACTCGAGCGGTTTTTTCGCGTTAAAGAGCCGCACCGTTTTTGGATGAGAGGAATCATCCGGACCTATGACAGTTAACTTTTTAAGACGTACTATTCCGCAGAAAGGTATGTTAAATAACAGTTCTTCATCAACATCGCTTTTCACGCACGGCCCAGTCGATAATCTCTCATCCCATGGCCTGAAGACTGTTTTAGCGCTTCCTGGCTCGAGCTCATTGAGGCATACTAGATTATCCATGTCAATTTTCAAAAACAAGCTGAACAAATCAGATGAATCAATAGTTGCCGAAGACGAGCAATCACATTTTCCAGGTGCACAGTGATCTCCCATTTTTTAGAGATGCATTCGAATCTTGAATCTTAAAAACATAAAAAAAACTCATCAATAAACCAAATAAACTTACAAAACAGCAACTAAAAAAGCACTATCAGTCAAGCAACGTCCCGTGTACAGGTTGCATAAGGCCATACCAAGGCTGTATAAAGTTTTTTCTAGATCGGATTTTTGCTTGCCCTTATAGAAAATTCGAAATAACTTATGGCAGCTTCTATGAAACTGGACTACCCAAACCTGTAAAACACTGGTTTGTAGAACTTTAATTAAAACCCCACCGGACACATATCACTGAAATACAACAACAGAGTTAACATACTGTCACATATTCCCCAGACTTTCTTATTGAGTTCGCATGGATCATCAATGATCGGCGAATGGATTACTGAATATTGGAATAGTTGTCCAGTAACGAATTATCCAGCTGTGAACAAAAAGAGAGTAATGAAAATAACTCAAGAAAGGAATAACAAGTGCTATACGGAGACTTTCTGGTGGCAAGAAAAATATTATCATGAGCAGTCACTCGATATAACTAAATACTTTTCTGGCCCAACATAAATTGTTGCAAACTTTCCGACGACTTTGGAGATAACTTTGTTAGGCAATCTGCCAATTCCTCGTCTGTAGGAACCCATTTTAACTGGTGTAGAATTCCATCATTGATCAAAGAACGCAAATACGCTATATCCACTCTCAGTCTCTTGTCTTTCTGAACTTTCGTTGAGAAAACGTTTTGCACTAAAGAAAGATTATCCGTATATGTTCGAATATTGACATTTTCCCCCGTTAACTCAGAAATAATCTTTTGACAAAGAAATGCAGCATCAACTGCATTTACACAAGAAATTGTTTCTCCGCATAAAGTGCTCCTGACAACACGTCTCAGTTTCTGAGACTTCCAGCTCAAAAGAGCAGGTCTTTTGTCAGACGCCTGTAAAAAGACCAAATAACCGGACTGGGTGCCACCACAAGGCAAATTTCCAAGAGAAGAATCGGTAAAAACGTTCAGTTTCCACTCATCTGCACTTCCAAGATTCTCGAACATCAAATATGAATCAGATGCAGAATACCTCAATTTTCTCACAATTTTATTGACAGCTAAGAAATGTGAGCGCTGCCAATCTTTGGACGAACCAAGCAATTGACATACTTGAAAAGACACATCAGGACGAACCTGTGATGCGACCCATTGTAACTTCCCCAGAATAGCACGCATATCACGCCTAGCAAACTTGTTGACCACAAAATCATGTTTTGGCACAATAATCTCCCGCAATTCTTCTACATACGAGGATAAGTCCAGTTTAATTCCTCTTTCCGTTTGCGATAAGTCAAACCCAAGATAACGAAATGGAGCTGTCTCTGTCGATCTGATGTCGAAAACCACGTCAAGCGACTTCATCACAGAATATTCAAACTGTTCGGTGCCAGCCCACAAAAAATCGTCAACATGGGTAGTTAACAGTCCAACTATTTCACCCGCTTGATTTTTCTTGTAAAACAAACACGGATCAAACTCTGAAACACAGCATCCTGTGGCCAATACTTCGTCTTTAACTTTATCATACCAGTGTCGAGCCGCGTCAACAAGCCCGTAAACGCATTTTCGTAATTTCCAGAGTTTCCCCGATAATCCAACTTCCGGCGGTGGCATAACATATACATCACGGGTAAGAGGTTTTCCTTGTAAAAACGCCGTTCTTATATCCATCGAATTACATTTCCACGCCTTGGAGGCACAGAGTGATACTACTATCCTGAAAGTATCTTTGGAGCAAGTCGGAGAATCCTTTATGACGTTATGAAGATCTGGATCTTCAAAACCCCTAACTACGAGTCGTGCTTTCTTTCTATCTGGCTTCTGAGTGAGCACCCACTTGCAGGACAGATATTCTTGCCCTTCGTCGATAACTTCCTCAAATACTTCGTTTTTCTTCCAACTCTTCATTTCATCCATTTTCGCTTCAAAATAGACATCTGCAGTCGCGTTCAGAGCACTGACTTCTACATCCTCCAGTTTTGACACGTCAACGCAATCCAAATTCCCTTTAATTTCTTTGGGAGATTCATAAACAATATTCCACCAGTCTTTATGAACACCTGTCGACTTTCCTCCTCTGCTTTTGACAATCGCTTCAATTTCTTCTCCTTCAAACCCAGATTGGCGTGAAACAAAACGAATCCGTCGACCAGCGGCAGGTTTCAAGCACTCTCGTGATAAATCCTCAGAAATAGTCTCAGCAACGTCGTTTGGAACACAATTAACTGCTGTATCGCCTGGTACATCAATACGGAGTCCTTTTTCGATACCAGGTTCAATTGTAGCTGTATTTTCGCCTTCATCATCAGTTTCATCAACAACAACCTGGCGATCAGCGTCTGTTGAACCACTGTCGCCAAAAACTTCCTTTTTCTCCTCGAATCCAGCTTCTGCTTCTGACATCTGTTGAAACTGATCTGCACATCGTTTCAATCGCGAAGTGTGTACTTTTACAACACGGCCACCATGTCGCACAAAAACAACACTACTTTCTTGACCGATAACTTTTGCAGGACCTCGCCATTTCAGTTCTCCGTCCCTTTTATAAAACACGCTATTCCCAGTAGCAAATGGCCCTTTGTCAGTCACTACTTTGGCTTTGAGAGCCCGTCTGATGCGATTACTGCAATCAGCTTCGATAAATAATTTTCTAGACTTATGCAACGCATTCAAGTTTTGCGCTACAACTTCGCAAGTGGTCTCGCATTCCAAAGCTGGCAGTTTATTGGTAAGAACAGATGGGACATGCGGTCCAAAACCAAACGCGACTTGAAACGGTGAGAAGCCATCGTTGTTAGCCAAGCTATTTTTAGCAAAAACGGCATGCTGTAAAACAATATCTTTACTCAAAGAAACTGATTCATCGGCCAGTAATTTCTCCAGCATGTCTGTAAGAACTGCGTTGTGCCGCTCAACAACGCCGTTGGACCAGGGTGAAAAAGCTGCCGTAGTCTTCACGATAATATCATTATTTTGAGCAAATGATTGAAAATCAGCATTGTCAAACTCACCACCATTATCAGTTAAAACAGCTTTCGGATATCCGTAAACCAAGCACCAACAACGAAGAAAACCTTCAATGATTGTACTCGGTCTTTTGTTTGTAATGAACACAGCTGCACTAACACGACTAAACAAGTCAATCACGTGTAAATACCACAAAGTGTGTCCCGACTGGGCCATCTCGTGCAAATCCATAGCCACAGTATTATTCCATTCCATACTGATAGGATAAGACACACTTGGCTTCGGAGTAGCTCGTCCGAACCTCTGGCAAACTTCACAGTCACGTACGACTTCAGCAACGGTGCAATTCACTACTTTAGCACCAGATTTAGCTATTAGCTTCTCTAGTCTGGTCGAACCACAATGAGCAAACTGACGATGTAACTTCATAACTTGCTGAGAGTTCAAATTACCAGAACTCAGGCAACAGAACTCTTCATTTCCAAAACTGATATCCAGCAACAAATGTCCAGTTTTCGAACATTGTAACTGGATTTTTCCTCCATCTGATGTACTCAACATACTGGTGTGAAAATCAATACTAAATCTTGCTTTAGTCATCGACGCAACACTAATCAATAACGGCAACTGACCGGGAATAACCAATACTCCGAGAAAACAAGTAACATTGCCGATTTTAACAGGTATGAAACACTTATGTTCAACTTTGATCCGCTCACCACCACCGAACACAACATGGGTATCGACTTTTTCACGCTCAACTAAAGCTTGTAAATAATCCGGCAACTGGGAAATATAGTTTTCCATCCATACTTGTCCAGACACAGTTGCAGTACACGCTGAATCTAGAACCGCCTTGCCAAACGCTTCGTTCAGAAGAGCAGCAGTGAGCATCGCAAAATTCAAGAAAACTGTCTCATCTACCTTTTCGTCTTCTTCTGTTTCTGCCTGTGAAGCAAAAACTTGTTTCTCTTTATCAGGGCACTCACGAACCCAGTGGAACCGTGAACCACAGTTGGTACAAACACTGATTTTTCCAGTACTTCTATCCACGGGATTTGACCCAGCTGTATTTCGACGTCCAGAACTTCCACCCCTGAAAGAACCACGAACTCCTCTTCCTCTCCGTGGTCCCCCACGGTTTTGCCATCCTCCTGGTTGAAAACCACCTGTTGCAGCAAAAACCGGTTCATCTTTCACAACCGGAGCACACGAGTTCCTCTGAGAAACTTCAGTGGAAAAAATACGCTTCAAACTCTTTTTCATGTTAACAAACTGGATGTCTCCTGTCGCCGACAAAACCAACTTTTTATCGCGATCATCCAAACCAGCACAATGTAATAGCTTGCAAGCTAAGATACCATCAGGTAATTCCAACCCATGTTTCACTAATCGTTGATTCGCACTCTCGAAAGCGGTGATGTAGTCATTTATAGGCATACTGTTCCGTTGAATAGTCTCAAACTTCTCATAATCCGAAAATAACTGGTCTGCAGTATCCTTCCCAAATGATAACTTCAACTGCGCAAGAACCTTAGTGAGCCCATCATTAGCTTTCAGTTCATCAAGTGGAATAGACATGGCAATCTCACGTTTCGAACTACCAAGTGATAAAGCCACACAAGGGCCTTTCTTCCCGTCAGCTAAATCTGTGATAGCATTCCAAACATCCACTTCTGTCTTCCATGTTTCAAAAGACATTTCATCTTTCCATTGCGGCGGGGTTTTATAACTCGTATTTGCCATCGTCTACCTCCTGCTACCATGTAAAACACTGGTTTGTAGAACTTTAATTAAAACCCCACCGGACACATATCACTGAAATACAACAACAGAGTTAACATACTGTCACAAAACCATCAACTGACAGAACATAATTTACAAAATATGCAACTTTTATGATTTTAACATGACTCATGCCCTACACTGTTGTGCCATTCGACCAGAATGATCTGAAAACTCATGTCACCAACGAATTATATTTCGAGCAGTTTGGTAGTACGATGTGTTTACTTTGACGTTTAACGGTCTTTTTTAACTAAAATAACGAATTATTTTATTCAAATTATTTTTCAAAAACATTCATTCAAAAATAAATCATAATAATACAAGAAAACAGAAACTAGGCAAACGCCCAAGGGATATTAGTCCCGAGTTTCAGTTTTGCCAAAGATCACTGAGTTTGTGTTGGTTTTGTGACATTCCAACAAAACTTATTAAATAGTTTCATATTGGAAATGATCCGACGAGAGTGACGAACAATTTGAATGCTTTTAGCCTAATTGTTGTGATAGACTTATTAAATAGATTTGTTATGTTTGATGTTTGTGCCTGTATGTGGAGCGCCCTCTGAGGGATTTTAGAGACAGGTATGTCAAGTGGCTTTCTGTGGGGAGGTGGGGAACTGGAACTGGCTTGAGGAGTCTGGTGGTGCGCCGCTGGACCTACTGAGCTCGGGTGAGATTGTTCCTTGTTTTTGATTTTTATAATTCGATTTTAAAATTTAAATTAATTTAGTTGTCTTTTTTTTATTTGCTGATTTGTAAAATTCCCACTAACCGCTTATCATGGGTTAGTTCAGTCCCCTAAAGTCCAGTCAAAATCCTTTTTTTTACGTTTATGCTACGTCAAGATGAGGAAAAACAACAAAGAGTGTACAAGCAAAGATTGCTTAAAACCTTCAGGACTGATAAATTGGATCAGATGTGATTGTTGTTCTAGCTGGTATCATATCAGTTGTGTAAATATTTCTCTTAGCGACTCTAAGAAAACCCAATGTTTTCAGTGTCCTTTATATGTAACATTCGCCCGGAAGATACATATCGACGGAAGACAAAACTAAGTCTTAAGACGACTGGCTAACGTCTAAACAGAGCTTTATATGCTTTTCACCGTCTCTACCAAGCCAGTACTTTTCGGTGGTCTTTCTAACATCGGGTCGACAAAACGTTACTGCTTTCGGCTTCGGTCAAAACACTCAAATTAACTAGATTACATGCAGAAATAGTGAGCTCATAGCTGGGTCTCAGTATCCCCAGACCACGAGGTCACTCCTAAAAACAGGGCTACTACTTATTATATTACTATTGTTTTTGTTCAGTAGATAAACATCATCATCTCCATCGAAGATGGATCAACCCTTTCCCCCTACTCCTAGCTTCTCATCCTTATCAAAATGAATCCAGATGTTAATTAAATTCAAATCAGGACATGACAAGAAGCTAAAAGTTTATGTAACAGGATAAAAATTTCAGTTCCTTTACCCCTCCGGATTGACAAATCTGCTGGATCAAGCTTGTTAATCCTGATTTCTTCTTAATCCGGAAGGCCGTCTTTCACCCTTCACCGTTGTTCGCAACGGCCTTGCAACTATTGTAGCGGCACAGTAGTTGCAACTCGGAGTGTTCTCTGTTACTTGGTAACTCGTTGTTGTTTTCCAATCTCGATTTCGTAGTTGTTGTTAGCGCAGCTAATGTTGTTCTCTTTTTCTTTCTTGTTTTAGCCAAAATGGCCGTTTCTGACGTTTCTCAGAAATATGACGTCATAATTCGAATTTTTGAAATGTTAAAATACCAGAATATTCTAGCCCTCACCGTCTGGCCAATCGTTCCAATAACGTTTTTAGTTCTTAATAATCACCAATCCGGAAGGCTCGCTGCTAAAAATTCGAATTCTGCAGAGATTGCATTTTTCACATTCTAATCGAATGTCACATACTCCCCGGACAGTCCGGTCAATGTCCTCATTGAATCACGCAATGTTCGTAAAATGGTCACAGTGTCATCGAACAGAATTTACAAAATGCACGAAATTACTCTTATCCACGTCACATCGACTCACTGCAGAATATAAATGGCATCATACTACATCACTATAGCGTTCAAGTTCTCTCATTAATCTGCACATTGAGGATATGACTTAAGATAAAACATATATTCTGACTTCCAATGTCAATGTCCCGATTAAAACTTTTTCTCTTAGATTTAAAAGGTGTTGGCTTGCAGGACAGTCCTGCCAACCAACAAGCTAAAATTATCCTACTACGCTTTTCCCTTCGGAAATCTTGCTTGTTATTGTCCTGAATACTAAAACTAAGAAACTCTGTGGTTAGAAAGAACAATGAAACAATCTCCCTCTTCGAGAGATTGCTCAAGCCTTCCATGTCACCACAAAGTGATCAGTTCTCCTAGCTGATTAAAAACAGTCATGCAGGCTGGAATATTTAAATATACTCCTTCACTTAAGCCTTTCTAAATAAATAGTAAGTGAGTGTCTCTAAAGCCACTTCAACTAAAATCAAAATGCAAATTTATAAATGCAACAATTTCAAAACTCAACTTAATGTTTCAGTTTTCAATTACAACTTGGTTGCTTGGTTTCTCACTTGAGTTTTTCACACACATAAAACAATTCTGAGTTTTAACTTTTCTTCATCACTCCTTTGTTTTCTTCTTTTTTCGTCGTTTAGAAGTTCTAAAACTTCTAAATTCTTCTAATTTCATCTCTTCTTTCGGTCATCCGTCAATGTTCCTTTTCTTCCTCCTGTGATACTGACTCTGCACTCTCAGTTTCCGTATCTTGTAACACGTCGATAGCTATCCTGACGCTGCTGGAAGCCGTCCTCCAACACTTCTGCTCTTCCACCCTCTGTTTACAACAAAGGTAGGGGATCCACGTTAGATTCTCTGTTCCTGCAGAAGCTGTTGTGGAGACACAACGTCGGGTTTCTCTCCAAATCTTCTTTCAGCATCTCTGCCTTCTCCTTTCCACTACGTTCACTCGTCCTGGAAATTCTTTTCACAGCGGTGGTCACTGCACTCCGATGAGTCACGAGAGCTCGCTTGAAAGCTCCTGCTCCAATGTCCAGCTGATATTCACTGTACACCCTGCCGTGCTTCGACATATGCTTTTTCGCATACTCGTACAACCATGCAGTCATGTTAGCTCTGAACCATGGCATCAATCGTTTCCTTGCCCATATCTTCTTCACTTCCATCGGAATGTTTAGAACTTTGCACATTGTCTCAAAAAGATCTAATCTTTAGACAATCTAATTTCCGCAACTGTTCTCTCGTCGGTGCCTCCTGTCTGTTATTTTCTCTCACATGAGCTTCCAGCCATCGTATCGCCATCATAACTCCCACTATCACTATCGTTACGAACTGTGATGAATCTGGTAAACCCATGGAGAGCAGCTCTCCAGAGTCCCAGATCAACATCAGATTACTACGCTTGGGATACCACCAGGTCTGCAGCAAGCAGTGGCAAGGAAACTCGTCATGCGTCAACATGATGCTCCTCCAATTACGTTTTCCCGAAGCTTCCAGCAATGGTTCCACTTCCATCATCACTCGGTGGACTTCATCATTCTCATCTACTGCATTGTAATCTGTGACAGTTGATCCTCTCTGTTTCTGTCTCTCAAAGTCACTGAAGTTCCCTCTCACATATCCCATGAACTTCTTTCCTAGTATTGACTCCAATTCTTCTTTGTTTCTCTCTGGAACTGCTGAGAACATCTTACATAGTAACTCGTAAGACTTTTTAGACATTCTCGCCAATCTCACACACTTTGGCACTGAGAAGGCTTGATCCACGATCGTTCTTGTACTCTTCACGTCCACAGCCACGAAATGTACAGGGTATCTGCTCTTGCACATTGGAGCCAACGTTGAACCCACCAAATATCGTGCTCCTGATGGTCTACAATAAGTCTCGCTGTGTCTGATGTTCATTTCTGTCTCGATTACTTCCCTCCATTTCCCTATGTATTTCTGTTCAGTCTGTAGAACTCCTGGGAATACTTCTACACTGATGGCTGTGACCATCTCATGTTTCTGTTCTAGATTCAATAGTGACTCTAAAGAACCAAACATGCTGTAGAATCCTAGTGCAGTCACTAGATTCACATCGGTTCCTCCATGGCAATCTGCTATCAGTTCCGTTTCTGTTTTAGCTTTCATCACTACATTTCCAAACAATACCGTCAATTGCTTGTGTTGTTTCTCCAGGGTCTTCACACAGTCCAAACCTCCACAAACGTGACCCTCCAGTCCACAGACTTCCGCCAGACAGCTACCAGGTTTGACCCAGTCTTCTGGTCCCCAGCCAGGCAACTCCACTTTATCTTCTCCGTTGCTCTTAGAGGCTGTTATCATCACATTATATATGATGTTGAGGTCACGCAGGTTACAGTCTGCATTCAGTTCCCCCTGTACGTCTTGTGTCGCCCGTAATATTGAGTCAGCGTTGGGACTAGGACACCATGATGGCCTCATCAATTCCCACACTGTCATCAAGCTCGTTCTCAGTAATTCATCTGAGAACCCCAACCCAAACTCCACTCTTTTGTCGGATTTTGGTACTGAAGGTGCAGTCACCTCTTCTTCCAAGACCAGTCCCAATTCGGCCTGTGTATTGTTAACGCTCTTAATCGTTACAATTCTGGACATCCAGAATCTTAGCAACACCGCCTGCTCATAATCGAAGAAGCAATCGCGTATGTCTTCACTCAGGAAAGGATTGTACGCGATCCCTATGATCCCGGATACGTAGCCATACGATTTCTTCTTGATCGGTCCACAGTATTCACTGGATTTCGGCAATGCTCCCATAGATTCTTTAGTGAGTCTCAATTCTTTGTTTGAGAATCTCCTGATTTCGTCTATCTTTTTCATGGGTTCCAACTCCTCAGGTTCTTTCATGTTCACCCTCATCGGTTTACTTTGCTGCATATCCAGCAGTGCTAGCAAGAATAAGGCTTTCGTTCGCTCATCGCCTTCCCTCAACATTTTAACACAAGTGTTTAATGCAGGTACTGAAATCTGCTCTATCAGGAATCGAATGAAACAGAGAGCGTCTCTCCGCTTCGCACACGCTACTGCTGCTCCCTCCTGGACTATCAGATCCCTCAGGTTCGTCATAAGGAAAACATTTTCCTCTTTTGATCTCTTCCTTTCTTCTGAGTCATATTCTTCGCGAGTCAGTCCCATCATGCACCAGGCGAACCTGAGTTGTAACTCTGTTCTTACGTAAGGTACTTGCCACGAGAGCATGTATCCTTGGCATAGTCCTCATTTCCTCTTCGAAATACCTCAACACTACTGCTTTCCATGGAAGGCTCACCAACTGCTCGATCGTTTCCGCCTGCATGTCAGACGACGCCAAAGTCCCGTACGCCTTCTGCTTGAGGGTGGTGCCTTGCAACATCATTTCTAGATAACCCTCCATGGCTTTTTCGTCTTCCAGGGCCATTACATACCCTCTAGCCGAGTTTCGGTATTCCAACATCTCCATGTATCCACCGG